TTCTTTTCCTGTTGAAGGGAATGGCCGTCCCATTCTCGTTAATACACCACCACCTTTAATCAAGGTACCTCCCACAGCTGCGAGGGAGATTCTACTGGAAGTGACACTTGATTGTTAAGGGTTGGTGGTAAGGGAGTGGTTTGGGATGTAGCCTTCCTGTGTTTTTCTGGAGTTCTTTGAGTCGGATGCTGAAGCTGTCAATAGTCACTGCTGCCACCCTCTGGTTTGGGGGGAACTGCTTGTTCTATTAAACATTTTTAAAGAAATCCTACATCTGCATTATGATGTGGATCATCACCAAAATTCTATGGAGGGTTCATTGGACTGATGTTCACATTTGGTAAAAAATTTAATTAAAATCTGTTCATAACCTTTTTAAGTTATCAATACAATGATGGACAGAGAGACAAAAAAACTAAACTAAAAAACTAAACTAAAAAAAATAAAATTAACTCCTTTGTGGAGGTGATAAATAGGATTGAAAGTTTTAAAAGGGAATAGTTTAGTTAACTCTCAAGCAGATGCTTATGTTTAACATTATACACTATTAGGTAACACGACTTCAACAGAGCTTAAATATTTTGATACTTTCTTCTGATCTTCAATTTTTTTCATTTTAAAAGCAAAGCACTGTTGAAGATTTACTAATTGTCAAATAAAAATTATTATGAAGGTTCACAAATCGTGCTAAAGATAAATCAAGATCATTTTCAATATTCAATCACTTATTTTCACTAATTTAAAAGATGCTTAGGTATATTAAATTGTTTCTTTGTGATTCTGAATGATAAAGTTGCCTTACAAAATAATTAAACAAATCCTTCTCTATCTGTTCTCTCAAAGTACGGATTAAAGGATATGACATCAAGTTTTCTTGTTCTTGGTACAATTTTGCAACAAAACCCAGCAGCAAACTGTGAGGTGCAGTGAGGGCATGCAGCATATGGTGAAGTCCTGCTACTCGGCTGCTGAAGCAACCATCAAAGCCCATTGTCTCTGCTTTGTTCAGGCTTCAAAGGGACCACTGGTCAGCCAAGAAACCAATTCAAACACTGCAGTTTGCCAGAGGAGTCTGGGAGACAGGTATTCATCTCTGTGTAGTTTATTGAACGTCCAGCAGAAACGTGTGTGGGAACAAACAAGCTTTTGGCCGTGTGCCGAATCCAAGTTGCTCTGAATGATTTGGTGCATATAGATCCAAGTTCATGCAAAGATGCTTGGAGACAGATTATTGTTATTATCAGATTTAAAACTTTCATCTTTTACTCTTTGAATCTGGGTAGGTTTATTTCTAATAACTGTAGCCCATTGTTTATCATATGTTGTATTATAATGTCCCTTATCTCCTATTTGCTTTGTTTTTATATATTATTACCTTTGCTTGAATTTTCATGCCTCCATTTTCCTGTCAATTTCCTGCTGGTACTATTTTTCATTTGGTAAGCTGCATTTCTCGCTTCTTTATTCTGTTCTAATATATACAGTAATATTATATTCTGGTCATTGATTAAAGCAAGAAAAAAACGTTTTGACATATGGCTTTTAGCAACACTTAAAATCCTATTTAATGAAATGTAGATTCTAATATAAAGTTGTTTTTTAATCCCCTGTACCATGTGCATTGCACCATCATTGCCCGAAAGAAAGGAAATTCTAAATGCAAAAGCAGCAAGAATTGAGTTCATCAGAGCAATATCAGCCTCCCTCTGGCTCTTAAAGTCAGATGAAGCATAACAGGCAAATGCATCATCAAAAAGAAGAGAAAAAAAAACTACCTAAACTGTATAGCAGCCAATAAAGGAGGAATCCTTATCAGATTAGAATATTAAATCAATGTCAGGAAAGTGTGTAAAATTACTGTTTGGTTGCTGACATAAACAGCATCATAGCAGATCCAGGCCTTGAAAACTGGCCAACAATCATAGCAATAAGAGCAGTGATGTTGTGTCAGTGAAGCGCAACTAGCTTCATGCTACTGAGACAAAAGTCATGCCTAACATTTTATTAATTTGTACTTTACTAAAACCAAGCAATTTAACATTTGGAGTCAGGCCGCATTTTGTCCAAGTCATTACTTCGGATGAATCACGAGGCGGATTGATGCGTAATGTGGGGGGGTTGGTGCTGAGCATCCCGAGCGGCGGAGTACCATGTGGTGTGAGCGGAGAGAAAGGAGAGATCAGAGCATGTAGCAGACGACAGAAGAAAACTAAAGAACCAAATAAAATGTCAGATTTTGACTGCAGCAGAAAGTACTTTGTTAAAAATGATCCAGTGCTGATCTAGATAATCATAAAAATAATTATCCTCTGTCATTTTTTAGATGCAAATTTTAAAATCAATACGGCTAATATAATCATCATTAAGTGCAGTGAGACAGTGTTTATCACTGCTGCCCTGAAGCAACAAGGTCCTGAATTGAACCTGGCTAATGGTTTTTCTACATGGAGTTTACATGTTCTCCCCGTGTACTGGTGGGTTCTCTCTGGGTACCTCCCTTAGTCCACAAAACATGACTATCAGGGTAATTGATGAGTCTAAATTGCTCCTAAGCGTGAGTAACTGCTTGCATGGTTTTGCTGTTCTTTGTTGCTCTGCAATAAACTGGCAATTGGTAGAAAATGTATCTATGTTTATTAAATACATTTAGAAATTTAATACACCTTTGATGCTCCGCTGAAAAAAAAAAAAGTTGAGGAATCCACCCCATAAAATGAAATGCTCGTCTTGCTAGAGGTCAATCTACAACTATAAGACACATAAAATTGTTTAACTAGCTTTACATCAGTAAAATCCTCAATGATTTAGATTTAAATAACTGATTGTTTTTGTCAGAATATTGTTTTATTTTTTTAAATACTCTTAAGTTCTTAAACATATCCGTTCAGATGTCAAATCTTTCTGCAATGGTAGCTTGCGAGCACATTTTTCGATACATATAATCAGCTTTTATCAGGTGCATGATGAAGTATTTGGAATCATGCCATTCACTTATTACAGGGAAGGTAATTAAATAAGTGGGCTGCTTTTATTTTAAACTGAAATACCTGTCAATATCATTTAGAATTTGTCTGACAACTTTATTATATACTTTGAACACACAACTTATATAACATGAAAGTCTTTAAAGGTATGAATTATGAACAATATTCAAAGGCTGCTTAATTGTTGTATAACCTATCAGTCTCTCAAAAAGCTGTCTACAGACTGATTCATAAAGTATTACAGTAATTTTTTTCTTTTTCACAAAATAATTCTTTGGCATCCAAAATTTTTTTTTTGAGACTGTTTTATTTTATTCTTTGTAAAATTAGTTATTCTCTTACCAAGGATAAAGGGAATAAAATTACAGCTGCGAATGTTTTTAAGCCTGATTGAATATCTGGATACCTGAATGTCTGACCGACAGGTTTGAGGTTTAACAAGATCCCCTGGTATGAATAATAATGCTTTATTTAATCTGGTGAAGTCACAGTAATGTGTTGAGCTGCTCAATTCAAACAGATCAACAATCTCAGGTTTAAAATTTAAAACACTAACACTGATTAAAGCCAAACTACATAACACATTCTGATCAAGAGGGATGACACTTTGTTTTGCTTTTTTTTTTTAAAGATACTAAACAAGAGATGGTGAAGTACATGTGCATTTTTATTTATTTTTGCATGTGCATAAGTGGGTATTTTGCCAGTGATCTACAAAGATATGGTTTGGTTCTCCTCCATTAAAGTGAGCAGATTGTTTGTTCTACTGGCAATCTAAACAAAGATGAGGTTTTAAGTCATGTAGTTGGAGGTAATAATGACAACAATTATCTAAATATTAACAATGATTATACTTAACATTATTTATGGTGCCCTTCACGTAGATAGCCTATCTCTATCTGGTATGAGGTAAAGTAAGCTCCAGTTAAAGTTCAGTATAAGAAAATAAAAACATGAGAAGTGTTCTTTGTCGGCTGATGACCACTGGTTCCCTTCCCCGATTAAGAATTAGCCAGACAGATTTAAAGTAAATTACAGTATGCTCCAAACAGCTGGATTTATCCCCACCAATTTCTTTCAACAGCTGCTTGCCAAGATATACTAAAAAACAAGGTAGGCCTTTAATAATTGAATGAAACAAGCTGCACTTCATGCAGAGGCTGATAAACATTGAAAGGAGTAAAAAAGTTCATGGCATATCTGGCATGTCTTACTTTTTCAGTCTCGTTTAATTTAATAAATATTCAGACAAGACAGATGTTCTTAATAATAATATTAATAATAATTGAACTTTATTGATCTCACATTGGAGAAATTTACCTCTGCATTTAACCCATCCCATAGGGAAGCAGTGGGCTGCCATTTCGTTGCAATTTAGGGTATGGTTCTTATTTATAAATATAGAAGATGTCCATTGTCAGAAAAAGGTCAGCTAACTTTTTTGCAGACCCCTCACATTCTGGACACAAACAGTTTATACTTCTACTCTAAGGTCCATACTACAGAGTGCCTCTTATAAAAACAGCTGCTATAGAGACAGTTTCTTGCCCCAGGCTGTCACTTTGACAGAGGGCTCAGATACAAGGCTTAATTTGTACAAATATAACCATGTTTTTTTATATATTTATTAAGATTTGTATGCATGTGTATTAACGAAAAAATTTTATATTTTCCTCTCCACTGTCGCTACAAGCATGCTTAGTGTGAGGGATTGCATTCGAGTCAATGAGTCAACGCAATCAACTGGTTTTCCTTAAAAAACTTTAAATCAATTTGACTGTATGATCTGGTGAACTGTAAAGTGCCTTGAGATGATATGTGTTGTGAATTGGCGCAATATAAATAAACAGAATTGAATTGAATTTTTATATTCCTGTTTTCTGAAAATATCTTTCCTAAAAGCAAAATGGAACCAAAGCCAAATACCTTGTTGGTGTAACAAACTTGGCGATTAAAGCTAATCCTGGTCTGAGAAAAGGAAACCGTCATGATTTGCCAAGAATGAAGTCTTTATACCTGTCTGTTAGAGGAGTGATGACCAGCCGTGGCGTGTTGCCCAGATACTCATATGAGTAGAGAAACTGGGCATCGCAGATGTTGGCGAAGCAGTGCCTGTCCCCCTCATCCCAGCGATGTCTCAGCTGAGAGAGCCACACAAAGGCCTGGGAATTCTCCACCTTCAAAGCGAAGAAAAGAAGAGAAAGTTTCCAGAGGCTGCCAAGACTTCAGATGAGCCCAAAATAACCTGCATATTTCCACCCTCTTATTATGTTAATAGCTTGTCTGAATATCTTGAATGCATGCAGTAAAATCCTCTTAAAAGTCCAGCAGTGTACAGCATGTGTGGCCAGATTTACACCCCGGGCTGCTCTCACCTTCTGGTTGATCATCTTTGCCACAACATCTCTGGCGTGGACGTCGATGGTGCAGATGGTCATAACCTTCTGCCTTTCGCCTGGCGTGAGCTGGCCAATCAGCAAGTTGATGAGGGTGTTGAGCTGAGAAACCTGCTTCTTGTAATACTCCTTCAATGAGTTGTCATAGCCTTGCTCAAGACGAGCAAAAGCAATGTTGACTTCAGATGTCCACCAGATCTGGGTGCAGGTTAGAGCAACCTACAGGACGTAGAGAGGAACCATAGAGTTAAGACTATTACACAGATTAAGGTAGATTTGTGTAAATATATATCCATGTGCTGGGGTTTATACTGCCTTAAAGTCTGGAGCTTATGATTCTTTAATTATAATAATGAAAACTCTGACATCCCTATATTTTGTGTAAACAAATAAAAAAAGGCATTATTGTTGCTTTAAGCACAAAAAACTGTAATATCTGGAATGAAATGTAAGCTAATGTTGTATTTGTAAATTAATGAATCTATTGTAGCGCTCCCCTCAGTAACCATAGAGATGAGGACAGGGCTTAACCAGGTTACACTATGAATCTTTTTCATGGCATTCTGGCTTTTATCAGAGTAATGACAAACCTGTTTAAACATCTTTGTAATGAGGTATCATGATTCCTTTATCATCAGGGTTTAAAACCCTGATTTCTCTTTTGCATGTAAGGGGTCATATAAATAGGAAAGTTGCACATTTTATGTAAAGCTATGTGATAGAGCATAATAGAAATGGTCAGATCTATGCAGGTGCTGAAAGTGAAGCTAACCTTTAGTGAATGAAAACAGTTAACAGTATCAGGAGAGTGTGAGCAGGTTTATAAAACCAGTTTGTTGCTAAAGGAAGGTGGATGGAAATAAAATAGCAGTAACATTGTAGAACTATCTATTGCTGCCAATAAAATTAGGAAGCATTAAATAAAACAGTTCCAATCTACTTGAGCTGCTGTTTTCTGCAGAGTGATTATTCTCACAATAAAACAGTTAAATGGTAAATGGCCTGTACTTATATAGCGCTTTTTCAAGTCGAGAGACTTGACCAAAGCGCTTTACACTACATTCAGTCATTCACCCATTCACACACACACTGACAAACTACATTGGAGCCACAGCTGCCCTGGGGCTCACTGACAGGAGCAAGGCTGCCGTACAACGGTGCCACCGGGCCCTCTGACCACCATCAGTAGACAATGCAGGTGAAGTGAGCCCGAGGACACAAAAAAACTGAAAGCCTGAGCCTCAACCCTTTGATTTCAGAGCAAACTCTTACATCCGACTCCACTGTCACCCCAGAAGTCATCAGCGAAAGCACCACAAGATTGCAAGACCAGAAAACTCCATTCCATGGTGTCAAGAGGTGGAGGTGAGTTTTTGCTGATTTAATGTAGATCCATAAGCAACAGAAAAAAAAAAAAAACAGGAGACATCAGGGAAAACACACATGAAGAGCAAGGAGCAACAAGGAACCTGCACAAGTTCAGTATAAATAGGAGACTGAACAAAGACTGGGCTAAAGAGCTGACGAGGAGCAGGTGTGGATGGAAGCATCTAGAAGGAAGTAAGAGGAAGGAGACTGAAACAAATGGGAAACAGAGGGTAAACAAGAAATACATAAAAACTCAAATATAACCAGAAAACAACTAGAAAGACATAAAATGGAAATGAAACCAATGAGAACTCAAAAAGAAAACCTAAACAGAACCAAAATCACGACACATGGAAGATCAGATCAGAGACATTTAAAATACTCAAGAGCTCCATCTCAGGTTCTGTTGACCTCAGTTAATATATTTATTCAAAGCTTAAAACAGACCAGACTGTTTAAACTGACTGATGTATAAAAACAGACTTTCCTTTCCCTGTGACTCTAACAAAACTTCTGTGTCAGTAAAGTTTTGTGTTCTCTAATGGCTGATTTCATGTCCTCAGGAATAAATCTGTCCGGCTAGGGGGAAATGTAAGACTACAGGGATTAAAACAAATTAATTGCATCTAAAATGAACACTGTTGAGCCTAATGAGTTCATGGGGATTGAAGAACAGATTGTTTGAATGTAAAAAAGAAAATGTAATTGCAAATCCTCATTGAGTTATAACCACACATGGGCTGATAAATGTATCTAAATGTTTCACCAGAGAATAAACTACTTACTCTTCGAAAAGTGCTGATGGGGGAGAGACATCCAAAACATTTTTACTCTTTTTGCTGAAAATTTTGTTGTTTTTTTCTTGCTGTTGTTTATTTTATTGTTTATTTCAATCATATTAAGGGCAATGGGGGTAAAAAATTGTTTATTGTTGCAAAAAGCTGCAAATTGCTCCCAAATAGATAGATTAAATAAAGTGGATCTATTGTTTAGGAAGGCATAGTTGCAATGTCAATTGAATATGTCTGTAGGTACATTGACGTGCGCAACATTTCTTCGATCTGTTCTAAACCTTGGTTGATCTGGAATTCAAAATCTCTTTTTCCATGAACACTAAACACCATCTAAAATATGCAGGGCAGTGATACTTGATGAACAGGATGGAGAACCACTGGTTCAGAGTGTTTCTTATGTTGAGGTTAAACCAGTGCCCCTGTGTTCTCCTAGTTGAACATAGTTCATGCATCAGTTGTCATGCAGAACTGGTTTGCAGGATCACCCCAGACAAACACCTGGGGCTAGGCTTGTCTAAGGCAAGATTCAGAGGCTTTAATCCAGGTTTTCTTAACCCCAGTCCTTCGGGTCCGTTGTACAACATGTTTTAGGTATTTCCCTGTCTCCCCACACCTGATCTGAATGAAAAGGTGATCTTTGAAGGCATTTGAAGGCTGCTAAGGAGTGATGCAAACATCTGAATCAGGTGCACATGAGTAGAGAACATCTGAGACATGAAGGACAGAGGACCCTGAGGGTCGGGGTTGAAAACCCTGTTTTGGACCTTATTGCTTATATTCAGAGCAAAGCACATGTCCCAAGGATGCCTATACTGTGAAAACTATTATCCATTTCTTTTATTATTATTTCCTGCACTGATTTACAAGGTCACATTCCTAATACCCATTTATGTAACTCAAGTTTTGTATAAACTGTTCTCAGGCTAAAGACCCAACAGTACAACATGATTGCACATAGCATTATGAATATGTCTGCTGTTGCTTATAGATATTGTCCTTGCTCGTGCTTTTTAAGAGACTGGGGGAAAGATTCATCTTCCAGCAGAATAAACTTGAACATTCAGACTAACTTTAAGTGTAATGCTGAATTGAATGTGGTAAACAGTAGAAATAGTTATTGGGGCTACTATAGTGTACATATGAACCTGTTTACCTGAGCTGGATAGTCAAACAACCATTGCTCTCTGGGTTTGTCCTCATAAGCCGACACTGCCTCAGCCATTTCATGGCGAACAGTGGAGCGCATGGTGTCTAGCACACGGTTCAGCCACATCTCCACCTTAAACAGAACACAAAAACAAATCGGTGCAAATCATGCTTTTTACATGAACACAAATGGACTTTTTTTTGTCTGTGGTCCCTAATGAGGTCATTTATAAGCATTCAAGTAGAAATAGAGTCAGACAGATATCAAAGGAAGTAATGGAAAATTAATGGACTTGTGTTTTTATATGAAAAACCCTGGGGGCAAAGACAGAATCGGTTTCATTTGTCTGCTTTATTACGTAAATGGATATCTGTCTCTGATATCTGTATATTTAATCTGTTCTTTTCATTAGAGGAGATGGCAGGTAAGTTAATTTTCCTGTCTAATACATTTATCCTTCACAGCATTTATGTCAAATCATCAGCCTAATGAAGACAGACGATAACTGTGAGCATTTAGAAAATATAGTACCATCATTCTAGCAGCATGAATAAAGGAGAGCAGGACCATTTTACCTGTCCAGAGCAGTCGCAGGTCTGATTAAAAGGGACATACTCGTCTTCTTTGCTGTACATGCCCAAAGCAGTCTTAGAAGGATTTCCCTCTTCATCGGCTTCAAACTGCATCTTAGCCATGTTGTCAAACAGCTTAGATAGATGCTTCTGGACCTGAGCAAACACACAACCACAATAAACTCCAGCTTGATTTACACCCGACTTACACTGTTTCTTTTTCTTTGCAGCCTCATGTATAAATTCATGGGTTCAGTGAAGGTAACAGAAGGGCACAGCTCGTATTCAGCTCCATGCCTGCTTAGTTACTCTAACAGATAACTATAACCACATTTTTAACCACTGAAAAAAATACCTAACATATTATCCAGATGTAGATGGTGACAGTTATTTGCACACCTGTAAACAACATTGCCCCTCTGTGGACACTAAAGGTATTACACACAAAAAACACCAACATTTAAAAGAAAAAGTGCAAAAAGGCAAATGTGAGTTAAAAAAAAAGTCCAAAAATACAAAAAGTCTTTTTGACTAACAACCTGATGGGGGTTTGTCCCATTAGAGAGGATGTCCAACAAATCAGCTGAAGAAATAAAGTAGAATCTTGGAAAGGCAAGACGCTTGGTGTCCAGGTACTCTGCCAGAGCTTTTTCACATATAGAGAGCCTAAATAAATAAATAAATAAATAAATGGTAATTAAACAGTTAATGTTTATGTGTAAGGAGTATAAATGCCAAACAGGAACACATTTTTTAAGGATTTATAGCTCTCTAACCTTCTCTGAATGTCGTCCAGTTTACCAAACAGACCCGGCTTATTGGTGGCCTCCACCACATTAGGCGTCTGATGCATGGAGTTTGCCAGCTCTTTGAAATCAGCATCAATCCCAATGAAGCGCCTGGAGTCCTGCAATAGATTTCACCAGAGAACAAGGCAGAAGGATTTAGGGGCCCCAACAAAGAAAAAGGAACCTTAGAAGTAAACATCTGGGCTGGAACAGTCTCAGCACAGGTGGTAGCAAAGGAAGTTGTGGAATCTGAGCTCCTAATCCAAGAGGAAAGAGAAACTATTGAGAGCTGATTTAAAGCATATTGTGACGGTAAAAGTTGTAAGCTTATACTTTCATACTCAGGAGCTTAAAAAGCTGTACAGTGACCTTGCTTAAGTGTGATCTCTGTCTGTATATTGCTTCTCTGAGGTGTATTTCTTGTAAATGTTGCCCCTAATTATCTTGAAACTGTCTTAATCTTAAATTTGGCATTTCTTGGCATACTAACACATCTATATGTTTTGTTTTGATGTAATCTAATTCAAAATCTATTTTGGCCTACTGTCCTGCTGACATGTCTCAAGTCTTGCACATTAATGTCCTTTATTGACCTCCATATTCCAGTCAATTCTGATTTTCATCACATCATACAGTAAATATGCTACATTTTGTATTGTTTCATCATAACCTGTTAAAATAAATAGCAGCATGATGTCCCAAAAAGTACACTAAACAGATATGTGTCAATATAAAGCACTCATTTTATAAAAAATTTTGACATGTAATTCAATAATGCATTTTTTTAATTATTAATTTTCACTAGGTTTGCAGATTATGATTACTTTTGTGAGGTGCTCAATACAAAACATACAGAGTGTTACATCTCTCCAAACGTTCTGTGATATTCAGTTTTACCTCAGGCAGCTGAGAACGGATGTCCTCAGAGCCGATGAAGATGCCCTCTAGGTGCATCCAGGTCCGCTGCACCTCAAACCAGATGGAGAGGACAGAGTCTGCCACAGAAAGCCTGCTCTGCCATGAGGACACCTCATCCAGGAAGTATGCGATGTACTTCGATGACATGATGTTCTGAAGCTGAACTTGGTTATCTTCCAGGGTTTCGATTAGCTCCACATCTATACGGATGAGAGGCACCTGGGTCCTGTGGTGGGGCTCATACTGGAACTGCATACCTGGAAGATGTGGAAATCACTTTCGGTATAAGATGATGATTCAACAATCGCTGTTGTACTAAACTAGAGTAGCTGCTACGTCTACCTGTCCATGTGGAGTTGAGCTCAGAGAGGACTTTCTCCATTCCCATTTCTTTCACAGCCTTGTCCACAATTTCTCTGACTTTGTCCTCAAAGCAGTGCAGGTTGAGCCGCAACAGGTCAGCCAACGTTGTTCTCTGCTCACAGCATGGATAATGTGATGTTAGCACAGCCGATACTTACAGCGCCTCATAAAAATACATCTACACCTTTAACTGTTTTGCATTTTGTCCCATCTTGACCTTATATTTTAGTTGGACCCAATGGCACAGCAACGTAAAGTAAAGCATGGTTGTAAAATTGTCAAAGAAAACAACAGTTTTTAATCTATTCACATGCATTACACCTAAAAAGTGTGGAGTACATTTGAATTTTAATTCCATGAGTTTATAGTGTAAATTATCTATCACTGCATTTACGGGAACAGGTATTTTCCAGGTATTCCTCCAACAGTTTCCCACTTAGATTCAGCAGTTTCCCCCCCCATTCTTCTTTACTAAATACCCTAAAGTTATTCAGATTGGATAAAGAGAACAGTCTGTAGAAGTGAATTTTCAACTCAAAGCAAGAGTGTTTTTTGATCTAGACCATTCTGTTGATGGTCTGGCTGTTTAGGGTAATTTTCCTGTTGAGGTCTGCATCCAACACAGTCTCACTTTTTTCCCCAGCATTATCCCGTAGTTAGTTCTCTTAGTATTCTACTGATCTCTGACCAACTTCCCAATGACTCCTGAAAATAAGCATTCCTAGCATGATGCTTCCACTGCCAAGTTTTACTGTATGAATGGTGTGTTTAAGATGAACTGAAGCCTGAGTTGTTTAATAAATGAAACCTTTCAGTTCCTCAAAATCTCTGTCTTCTGTGATTTCTGGTATTATTGATGCGAACATAATTTTTCGATGACTGCAAAAACTGGTCTTAAAATAAGTAAATATTTTCTGAAGTTTATTTTTCCCTTCTTTTGAGACAGATAAGATCATCTAAATTACAATGAATGTGTTATCCCGAAACAGAAGATAATTTGATTTGTGCACTTGAAATAAGTTTATCAGTTTTTTTTTTTACTCTTACTTAAATCATAAATTTTCATATTTCATTTGCACATTGTTTATCTCCCTAAAACAAGAGAAAATATACTTATTTCAGGGGGAAAAAAGCTTGTACATATTGTCCTTGTTATTGGACCAGGCGCTAGTCATTCAGACAATGATTTATTTCATTAATTCAATCAAAACAGTGAAACTTGTAGATCATATTTATTTATTTAAAAACCGAATGGTATATTTCCAGTGTTTATTTCTTTTCTAATGAAACCTCAAATTCAACACCTCAAGAAACTACAATATTACTTAAAATCAAGACAAAAAGGATTTCAAGCAATCATGGCCAACTGAGAAGTATGAACAGCAAAAGTATGAGCCTGTTTAGCACTTAAGGCTGATTTATACTTCGAAACTAGGCTGTCTGCGTAGGTGTCGCAGGTGAATGCAGAGGCGTCCCCGTCCCTTACGCAGACACTCTGCTGCACCTCTCCTAAATTGTAGGTGATCACAGACAGAAGGCCTCTGATTGGTCAAATCTACACCCGCTCTACACTATGCATATTTCCTGTTTGGTATCTTACCGGCTTGTTGTGTTTTTGTATGACCGCCATTGTGGAAAACGCCTCGTGAAGATGGACCAGCTAGAAGAGCGAGGTGCGTGAGAACACTGGGACCCATTTTCCACCTGGATCCCCGCTCTTTTTTTGTCTTCATGTTCCTCCGTTGTCGCACAAACTTGCCTCCCCTTCCTCACCGTCTCGGCCGTATCATGACCCACAGCTAGTTTCTGATTGCCCCTCTTGCATTGTGGAATAACATAGCAAAGACCACGCTTCAATATTGGATATAAATCAAAAATGTCTGCGTCATACCTGCGATATGCTCACTGCTACAGAATTATTACCAGACTTTTAATAGTCAGTTGGGGATCTGCAGCAATGCTGTGGCATGGAGTTGATTAGTATGGCACTACTCAGGTGTTATTGGAACCCAGGTTGCTCTGATAGTAGCCTTTAGCACTTCATTGTTAGGTCTGGCATATTGCATCTTCCTCTTTACAATACTCTATAGATTTTTAATTGTGTTAAGGTCAGGTAAGGTCCTTAAACTGGACAGTGGTAATTTTGGCACTGTGTGTAGGTGTCAAGTCCTGTTGCTAAATATAATTGGCATCTCCATAGAGTTGGTCAACAGCAAGAAGCATGAAGTGCTCAAAAACTCTCTTGTAGATAGCAGCTTTGATCTTGGACCTCAGAAAAAACAGTGAATCAACACCAGCAGCGGAAAATTTACCTTGGACTGCCTCTCCTCTTTTCCTCCAGAATCTCTTCATTTTCTACGGAAGCCGAGAGTGGTCGTGTCCCTCTTATACTAATTCACGGTAGTTTTCTCGAGAAAACTAGTTCATTTTCTCATTATCTAAAGATAACGGAAGCCGTTTTCTTGTGATAATTAGATGACTGGCGTGTGTTAAAATTGATCACATCCCTAAATACCAAAACATCGGTAGAGGATTTATAGGTATAAATCATGGCAGCCTATGTATAATTCTAGAAATAATCCTTTGTTTAACTTTTTAGGTAATGAGACAAGATTCTTCAATGGTGAATTTTGGGTTTTGTGTCATGATAGCTGATAGTTCATCTTAATTGTTCATGTCATTCACTTGCTTAGCTCCGCCCGGTTCCTCATCACTCCTCATTCTATCCACCTGTGTTTTTGCTTTATATTCGGCTCGGTCAAGCTATCGGGGCCAGATCATTGTTTGTTTGCTTTCTGTATGTACCCTGTTTGATGTCTTTAGGTTTTGTTTTGTTAGTTTGATTTATTGTAAGGTTCATGTCCCTGTTTCAGCAAGGAGATTATTCTCGAGCCTTTGTCTATTCCCTAACCACTGGTGAGAGCATTTTAGTGTTTCCTGGTGATTCTGATTTCCTGATTCTGTTCCCTCAAACCCACTGATCCTATCTGTCCCAGTACGGTCTGTTTGCCTGAACTACCTTTGGACTCCTGCTGGATTCTGCCTGTCAACATCTGTGTGTTCCTGTCTGAACAGGTTGCTTGTAACATGGAACTTTGAACCTGTCTTCATGCTCTGTGGGTTCCTGGAACCCAGTTATGTCCGTTCCTGTTTGGTTCAGAACCCCTGACCGGACTGCGGACTACTAGGTTCCAGTACTACTCCAATCTGATCTGAATCTCTGTCCTGGATCGAAGTCATGCCTGTTCACGGGGCTGCAGCATCGAGGGGATACTCTGGGCGGCTCAGAGCCGCATCTCATTGGCAGTGCATCGGCTTATCCTGCCTATTATTTAGAGTATGGACTGAATTGTTTAACCAGGTAAGTGACTCACTTGGACAATCATCTCCTGTCAGATGATCGTGGTCACTTACCTGTGTTTCTCCCTCCAGAGTGTCAGTGATTTGATGCCCCGCCCCCCTCTTGCAGCTGCTGCTGTCCGCAGTTCCACAACTCCGTGCTTCTGTTCTGTTTGAGTCGGTTTTGTTTAAATAAACGTTTTAAACTTTCCTACTGACTGTCTCACCTTGAATACTGGGTCCATCTGTCCCGTTTTATGACATTTTCATTGGTTGTAAGAAATAATCCAAATATATATATATAAAAAAGTCTTGCAATATTTCAGTCTGTGTGAAGTAAAATAATAGAGTATATAAGTTTTTCTTTTTTAATGGAATTAATGAAATAAATGAACTTTTTAATAACATTCTGATTACATGACTGACTATTTACTGACAGAAATTGGTTTTCCCAGATATTTAGCGCCGCATTGGGATTCAATTATTGTTACTTTTCATTTGCAGAAAGACGCTTGTGGGTTTGAAACTTAGGATGGTGTCTTTCTGTATGACGTTTGCGTGTTCTCCCCATGTATGAACGGGTTCTTTCCTGCTTCCATCCCCAAACTAAAGACACACATGTTAAGTTCTGTAAATGGATCCTCCTCATTGCCTTCAGGTTTTTGTGTGTTTGTGCATTATTTTATTTGCCCCGTGTGTTTCTGTTACTCTGTGATAGAAAAACGACAATCTAGGATTACAAAACCTTTTGCCCAATGACTGCTCAAGATAGGCTCCACCATGTGACTCTTTTTGGATGAGTGTGTATACACAACTAATGCATGTGTACTTTATCACTGAAATTTATGGTGGAACCATTAAAAAAAGACTAAAAGTTTTGATATTTAATGAATATGTACCAGAAGGCACTGCAGAATACGGAAATAGTTCAGTAGTAGTTTGTTTTTGTTCCTTCTGGGATTTTAATCTGGTCATATTAACATAAATGCAGATAATAGTGAGCTGTGCAGAAGGCTGACAACCAGCTGATATCTAGGACTTAGCAGCTTGAGGTTCAAAGACTACCAGCAACAAAGAGAAACAATTAATTTCCAAACATGATTAGCTTGAAGTGTTCAGAGCTCTATCGGAACAGAGTGATAACACAACTCTACTGCTTGCTCTCATTATGCTAGACAACTGCTGACTAAACATTGGGAAAACGCTGGCTTAAGCACAACAGGAAAAAAAACCCCAAAGACTTTCTTCATTGATTTTTCAGTTACATTATGCATAGCTGTGTTTATCTCTACTGAAAACAGCATCAAGTATAAATACCCAGAGATGGAGAATATAAAACAAGTGTTAACCAGCAGCTCCCTGTTTGTTAATAGTGCTTGTCAATACAAAACAAAACAGATGTTCATGAAAGTTCTGTTTTACAAAAGCTATATTTAGAAAGCTGTCGTAATTTCAGGCGATTTGATTTGTTTGTTTGAAAATAAAAATGTTACAAATTGACCTGAAATTTAAAGCAGATGGTTTAAATACACTGCATGCTGAAAACAAAATGCCGCCTTTAATCAACACTGATATTAAATTGGATTAAATAGTTCATGATTTCTGTCAATTAGGACTAGGAGTAGAAATGTTCAGGCATCATTACCTTAGAGGGAAGAAACAAGTTTTGTGTTTCAAGTTAAAATATAATCTAAAAAACAAAACCTGTAGCAACCCAAGGAAAAAAGTCAAAGATGTACATAACATCTTGTGTTGGTAAAAGGTATTGCCGTCCATAGAGAAACAAGAACTGTAACAAAATCGTCTGAAAGCTCGCTTAGTAAATAGCAATACTTTCTTTTTAAATCTTAAACTCCAGATTACAGATTACAAATGCAGTCTGAGATAAGGATTAGAGTTTTGAAGATACTGGATGTTTCCGAACGTCTAGTTGATGAAAAAGTAGTGGACTCGAAATTTCCTACAAAAAAAAAAGTACTGATCATCCATGGTCGCTAGACAAGCAGGAATATCCCGGAATGCATTATGAGAGCTCTTCTCGCAAAGCATTATGGGAGGGGTCTTCGATGTTTTCCAGGACAAGGATGATGGCGAGATGGAGCGGGGACCCCTAATTATATATATTGTATGATATTGTGTTATGTCAAACTGGTCCTATAGTCACTCTGCTACAGATGGAGTATTGTAACGAAAGTAATTTCGCCCTGGCATGATTCTGATTCCTGGTTGATGGGACAGGTGTGAATAAAGCGGTGCCCAGCTTGAAAGAGCTCCTGTTTGTCGCTGAATGTGTGCATTGATGCCTGAAAGACATCTTCTACCTCCATTTATCTGTTTACTACAGTGTGTTGAATTCATGTTAATGTGTATTTAAAGACACAATTAGTGGAAAAAATTGCGGTGGGGAATATAAAAAAAGAAAAAAATCTAATCAACCAAAACTTTTGCGACCCCAATGCAGTACCTCTGTGGACCTCCTAGGGGTCGCGGACCCCTGCTGAAGACTTCCATGGGATTTGTTGTCAAAGTTGCCCGACACATAACATAGACGGCGCAGGCACCGTGCAGGGAGGCAGAGTTATGTGACCAACGGGGAGTGAAAGTAGTGATCATCTGTCCTAACAGTCAGTTAACCGAGTTCACTATAAAGTCCACTATATAGTCCCCACTCTATATAGTGATGGAGGGATTCAGGGGTTAGGGCGGATGTTGAGACACAGTGACTGTATTTTCTTGGTCTCATGATGACAAAAACTGTATCATTTGGCAAAAATGATGATCAAGCATTTGGAGGATAAAGGGGAAAACTTGCCAGCACGATACGCTAAAAGGAAATTAAGTGATTTAAAGGGATTCAAACTTTGGTTTAAGCCAAATTGAAACTGAGTTTAAGCAGCTGATTAAATTAGTGGGTTAAAGACAACAAAGTCGAAGTTTATCACAAAGTTCACAAATGTTAATATTCTGGTATTTTTTTAAATACTTCCTCACTAGATTAAAACAGAAAATGGTTATGTCTGATAATATAGTAGACGTTGAGAAAAATACTAGTCTTTTTATGTGTTTACAAGTAAGAGTCTGACATGAACTTGAATAACGATGATAGAATGTTCATTTTTGACTAGAGATATATTTGTTTGAATGTTTAAATGCAGACCTGATCCAATGTGAAGTGAACTCCGGTAGCTGCCATCAGCTGATCCCAGTGTCGTGTTCGTATCGCAGGATTTTGAAGTTCTGCCACTGCTCGCAGTGAGGTGAGGATGTTCTTCACCGTGCTGTCCAGACCTGTGAAGGCATCCCAGGATCTTACCTACACAAGACAAAGACAATGATCATGAACAAGGAAGTTTTTGTGTCTCTAAACAATAATCTCTTTAGTGAAAAGAACTTTAACTATGACCTGTTGTGTAGATAATGACCTAAGATGAGTTTCTCACCTCTTTATTGAGCCCTCGTATGTCTTTTGAGAAGTGCTTGCATTCCACCTCCATGTCCTCCACATTGATCTCTCTCCAGGGAGTCATCCTCCATGCTGATATGCTGGATTCCACCACTGTGATCATATCCCACAGCTCCTTCAACAGGCCCACCTCATGCCTGTGAGAAAACGTGAACAAGGTGAACAACAAGCCACTGGCATGTCTGCAATGAAGCTTTGTTAGTTAGAAGCTTGGCTTTGCTTAAAGCTTTTTCCTTCATCTAATGTCCTTCTATACCTGCATTGTCTGAGCTGTTTGTACTCTGATATGGTGACTTCAAACAGGCTAGCAGAGTCCATCAGAGAGGCCATGGTTCTCTCATGTCCCTGGATCTTCTGGTGGAACTCATCTAACGTCTGGTATGGCCTCGGGCTGTCAAACCTGAGAAAAAGCATCAGCACACACATGCATCCATCAAAATCCACACATTGGCACATATTCTCCATTAAGCTGATTGTGTTTGGCTAATGACAGACTGCATGACTGCCAAACCTGATTTGGCTGCAGGAGTAACCACTCCATGGTCTGCAGCACTGAAGCCTTTCTGCAACAATTACCAGTGACTTCCATGACATTAATGGGAAGATAATCACCAGGTATTTAATAGACCAATTACACACATAACTAATCTGACAATTAGAAGTCATGACAAAGAATTGCTTCCTATGAATGAATTAGCATCATGTTAAGATTCAATTAACTTTGTCGGATAAAAGAACCTCAAGATAACATTGCTGCATCTAATGAGGAGGCAAGCTCATCGACACTTATAGAGCTTCTCAGATAAAGTGAAACAATATGTGTTGCCTGATGTCTTGATAGTTTCAGATGGTGGTTAACATTTCAGTTGTGTATATTTTAACACATTTCTGACATGTTTACTGTTGGTAAGAGGGCTTTATGGACGAAAATTAACACTTATGTATCGTCTTGTGATTTTCTTTTCAACAGTTCTGCTGTAGGTACCAGATCTGCTCGGGACCCTGCCCTTTCTTATGATGTCATCATATGGCAACTCAACTCAAACTGTATTGCATTTCTTAAGAAGAATCTTTTTACCTATATTTGCTATTATTTTACATTTCTTTGGTGACTGACAGTATCCGAAAGTAGAAAACAATCACTGTCAGTCTTGAACTGCATTCTAAGACTGAGCTATGCCTTTTAACAAGGTGACAAAAAAAAAGTCTCAGCTTATTTTTATTAAGAGCTGAAGACAGGGGAGGACAAATGGGACAACTTTAAAAAAAGGACTTTTGTAGAGATTTTTGTCAAATACAACACTTATTCTACTTGTAGAAAACTAATGGTTGTGTTAAACATAAAGTAAAAAGAAGTGCAGCATAATATGGCTAACTGATAAGCTAAAAGAGGCTAACCTGTTAGCTACAGAGCACTACCCAGCTCTCCCCCTTTATGTCATGGAGTTACTTTGTTCATCATAAACACATGTTTTTCATTTTTGATTTCTATCAGGTAAAATTTCATCATTAGATGAAGTTTTGTCATCAATAATTAGACACGCTAAGGCTACAGATGCTCCAGACTTGGCACAAGGGCACTGCGTTATGTCAATATCATTGTCTGGGCAACCACAACGTTTTACTTCACATGGCAACGTTCAGCCAGTCTGCTGGTGAAGTTTTTCATTCATCCAGGTCATAGTCATTCCAAAAAAGTTACAAAACAATCCACTGGACTTTTTTTCTTTTTTCAAAAAAGACACTTAAGTTCCCATCCAGGAAGCTTTTTTAATTCAAAATGTCTGAATTAGCATTGAGTTCCAAGCTTTAGAGAGTAGCCCAATAAAGCCTTGTTATGGCTTTACATGTTCTCTAAGCTTACAAAGAGAAGCTGGAGCTGAAATGATATGGACCCGATCAGCCAAAAATCTAAATAAATCAGCAGTCCAAAGACAGATTCAGACGGTACACTCTGTCTTTTTCCAGGACCTGGTTTAGCTACAAGGCTTGGCTAACTGCAAGCAGCAAGGCTAAGGCTATTTTCCCTGCCTCCCTTTTAAAACGACAGGATCTGAGCCAGCATGGATAAAGAAATGACTGATTTAAAGCACTTTTAAGAAATAGCAAAGAAGAATGAACAATATCAGGTTCACATGGAAAATAATATAATATAGTGTACTTTTTCTAGATGTTTGTTAGTTTGCATAGTTGCTCTTAAACACATTCTCAGAAAATAAATAGCTTTTATATATTAAAAAAACATAAAGCTGACTAATAGCTTATCCATTATTAAACTGGTACATAATTTTTTAGGTTTGTGACACAATATTGGATCATGCAAGACACAGATTAATATTAACAAGGCCTCAGAAGGGCAAGGTACAAAAAGTAAACCTGTACATGAAATTATGTTTTGTTTTTATAAATTGTTGTTATAATGTTTTTTTGTTGTAGGCATTCAAATAAATATACCGGTGTGATAAATAAGTATACGTTTGATTGGTTTTTGGTCTTGTTTGAATTTATAGTCCCTCCTGGAGAAAACTCCACCAGCTGCCACCACTGGTGAGACTAACAGGCATCCCCAACCTCTGTCCTCGAGGCCTGCTGTTCTGCAGGTTTTAGAGGTTTCCCTGCTTTAACACAGCTGATTATAATGATTGCAGTAGACCAAAAGCCTGTTAATCAGCTTTCAATTAAAATCAGCTGTGCTGGAGCAAGGAAACCTCTAGCAATGGGTGCTGGAGGTGAAGCCTAGAAATGTAGTTATCTGTTCAGATTCAATGTCTTGCCTGACTAGTTTTAAAAGTAGAAAATCTGAAAGCCGTCAAGATCTTTTAGATGAGGTCAGTTATTTAATGTATGGTATAAGGCAACAAAATATAAGTATTCAATTCACATGGGTTCCAGCACACAAAGGAATTTTAGGTAATGAAAAAGTAGATAAGTTAGCTAAAGAAGCAGTTAAGGTAGGAGAAATTGAATATGATGTCCCGCTAAGTAGAACAGAAATAAAAGTAATTATTAAAGATAAAATAAATAAGGTATGGCAGAAGAGATTGAATTTAGAAGAAAAAGGAAGACATTTATATAAAATACATAAAGATATTAGCATAAGATATACTGTAACAGTATAATGAGTAGAAGAGAGGAAATATGGATAAACAGGTTAAGGATTGGGCATACTAGTTTAAATGCAGGTCTAAAAATAATAGGGAAACATCCAACGGGTAATTGTTATTATTGTGGAGAAATCGAAGGAGTAGAACATGTGTTGATCTATTGTAGCAAATATATAAAAGAGAGGAAAGAACTGGAAAGGGTAATGGGGAGTTCAGTAAAGATGGCAGATTTATTAGGGAAGCATCAATCAGATAAGATAATTAAAGCACTTATTAAATATTTAAAAGATACAGAATTAGCTGTGAGAATTTAGTGTGTGTATGTGTGTGTGTGTAAGTATAGATAGAATTTAGTTTCATGAAGATATAAAGATATATAGGCATTATATTTCTGAATTACATCTCCGTCCAGTTGATGGCAGTAATGCACACAGGATGCAAACTGCCAGAAAACTCAGTAGAAGAAGAAGAAGAAGAAGGAAACCTCTAAAACCTGCAGGACAGTGGGCCTCGAGGACCGAGGTTGGGAATGCCTGGTCTAGAAGACCAGTTAGTGGCAGGCTACAACCTTTGTAGTTAACTTGCTGTCTCAGACTATTTTTACAAATTAATCTCTCATTTGGTGCTGATAATTTAAGTCTTTTTGAAAGGGGTGACACAGATACATTAGTTGTATTTGTGTTGGATGTTTTTTACTAATTATTTTTATTATAAACAAATAACTTAAATATAAGCCTGTAGATATATTTCCTCTTGAACATGTATGAATTAAAGAAGATCCTTAAAATAGAAAACATGCACAATCATTCTCTAGCTTGATATTAAATTTTCATATTTAATATGACTTTTAATGTCCTTGATAGTTGCACGGCCCTTCAGTATCAGGAATTTTACATTCTGAGGCATTATGGATTTAATTCAGAGTGCTGTGTGAAGTTTACCTAAAAGGCCCGTCCTTTTGAAAATGTTCCCTGAAGGCATTTTGCTCTGCCTCAAACAAAGCACACTTCCTGCGCAGATTGGCGACCTCTTTGGCCTGCAGTGGTGCCACCCGCTGTTTAATCAAAATGGCCTGTTTTTTCAGGTTGATCCACTTTTCTGGCAGCTCCTGAAGAGAGACAATCAGAAAGTCAAAAACAAGCACAGAAAGTAGCACTCTTTCCTTTCTCAAAAGAAAGCATGTATGGTGATGAAAGAGGAAATGATTAAAATTGAAATGGCAAAAATCAAACAAACCAAAAACACTGTTTCTTTCCTGGAAGACCAAAAAAAGCATAAAGCATCAGAACTTGAGTTCTTACCGCTAAGTGTTTGTAGACCACTTCGGGCGGCTCCTGTTCATACATTTTCAGCAGGGCAATGGTTTGTTGCAGCGGCTCAAACATGGTGTCTGTAGAGGTTTGTCTTTCTTTAACCCCAAGCAAGTGACCCATGACCTCAACCAAAGTGCTGTAGTCGCCCTCCTTCACCTGCTGGCTCAGGCCAGCCACAGTTGCACGGATGAACTTCTCTAAATCAGACAGACTATGAAAGACAAACAAATTGTTTAGGTAGAAACAATGGCCAGATAAAATAGCGACAGTTGAAAGCTGCAGATTAATTGCCATGATTAGACTTACTTGCATTACTTTGATTAATAATTGACTAAAAGCCAAATCAGTGAACATAAGCTACCACTTTCAAAAGGGGATGCAGGAAGAAGGTTAGGGCTCTCTGCAGAGCTCTACAAATGTAAAAGTTTCAGGAACCAGATCTTTGGGGACAAGAATTTGATTACCAGGCTACTGAAATTCCTTAGGCTAGTGATTCCCAACCTTTTTTTAATGTGTGTAACCCTTTGGTCATTTCGTCCTACCATGAGTTCCCCTTTCAGCAAAAAGTTTTGACGCTTGTCCAGAAGTGGAACGTTCATTATCTGATTATAAAACAAAAACTATTTTACTTAATCTTTTAATTTGAGAATTTAATCTTTAGGCATTTTATTCTTTCCATCGCATATAAAAAACACAACATAAATATGTTGCCCCGAAGGTAGTAAGGAATCAAAAATAGACACAATAAATGTATATTATAAACCTATATCTATAAGCCTGGAGCTACTATGAGTAACTCCCATATAATCACATTTAAACTTGAGGAATTGGGAAAAAAATTGAGAAAAAAAAATTACAGTCAGAGTGACTTCTTTAGTTTTACTTTGTTTTCATCAAGACACCTCAGCTGCACGGATGAGCTCCTATTGTCATGGTTTTGGTTCTGTTCAAGTTTTATCTCTGAGTTTTCATTGGTCTTATTTCAGTTTTTGTGTTCTAGTTATTTTTGATTGTATTTGAGTCCTTAGAGATTTCTTATTTGCCCTCTTGTGTCAGTCTCATTTTTCCCAACTCCCTTCTAGCCTCCTCTGTTCACACCTGCTCCCAATCTGCTAATTAGTCAGGTCTTTGTTTCTCTCTCCCATATATCCTCCTTCTGTTCAGTCACTTTTGGCATTAAAAATATCTTCTCAAATAAATCCAGAAAGACAGTACTTAAAATCATGTCATCTTATCTTCAACAAACTGGACTAAACCTAGGAAATATAAATAAGAACAAGTAGGTGGCGATAATGCTCCATTTGGTTGCAAGTCGCCAGTAAAACAAGAAGAAGAAGAAGAAGTCACTTTTGGCTGGTTTGTTGTCATTACTTTGTGCCCTTCTTGTTGTGAGTATTCCTGGTTTTCAGGATTTGTGGATTTTTGCTTCTGTTGAACTTTTTGGATAATAAATCTTCAAGTAACCTCCTTCAGTTTCAGTCTGCATTTGGTTCCTGTCAAACCTTGACCCCATTGTGACAGTAAGAACCAGCCAAGAGTGACTGAATAGGAGGAGAATATACAGGTCCTTCTCAAAATATTAGCATATTGTGATAAAGTTCATTATTTTCCGTAATGGTAAAACTTGAACATTCATATATTTTAGATTCATTGCACACTAACTGCCTTAATACGGATTATTTTGGCATACAGCTCATGAAAACCCAAAATTCTTATCTCACAAAATTAGCAAATCATGAAAAACGTCTCTAAACGAGCTACGCACCTAATAATCTAAATCAACAAATTAACTCTAAACACCTGCAAAAGATTCCCAAAGCCTTTCATCCCTCAAAACCCCAATCATGGGTAAGACTGCCAACCTGACTGCTGTCCAGAAGGCCATCATTGACACCCTCAAGCAAGGGGGTATGACACAGAAAGATATCTCTGAATGAATAGGCTGGTCCCAGAGTGCTGTATCACGGCACCTCAGTGGGAAGTCTGTGGGAAGGAAAAGGTGTTGCAGAAAATGCTGCACAACGAGAAGAGGTGACCGGAACCTGAGGAAGATTGTGGAGAAGGACCAATTCCAGACCTTGGGGGACCTGCGGAAGCAGTGGACTGAGTCTGGAGTAGAAACATCCAGAGCCACCATGCACAGGTGTGTGCAGGAAATGGGCTACAGGGGCCACATTCCCCAGGTCAGGCCAATTTTGAACCACAAATAGCGGCAGAGGCGCCTGACCTGGACTACAGAGAAGCAGCACTGGACTGTTGCTCAGTTTTGCACGTCATTTGGAAATATAGGTGCCAGAGTCTGGAGGAAGACTGGGGAGAAGGAAATGCCAAAATCCCAGAAGTCCAGTGTAAGGTACCCACAGTCAGTTTAAAAACAATCCACTGGACTTGGTTTCCAAGGTTTGAAGACGTTTCGCTTAACACGTGAGAAAGCTTCCTGGAGGGGAAGCGAAAACGTTTTTAAACCTTGGAAACCAAGTCCAGTGAACTGTTTTTAAACTATTACGAAAAGTAGATTGGTGTTAGCTGTAAAATCAACAGTTGGAATTAGAATTGCTCCAAATGAGACACTTTTATACTGTACCTAACAGCAACAGAGCTACTGATGTCAGTTAATCTGAGTATTTCACAATAACAGTAGATCCAACAGACAGTTTTAGACACAAAAACAATAAAAAAAAATCTGCAATTAGTTGTCTAAATAATACCTGGATAATGTAAAAACAAGTGCAAGACATCCTCAATTAAATTTTGTTAGCAAAAAAAAAAAAAGAATTTGGGGTAGGTTTTCCTTTAATGATAAATCAGAACCGGTTGAAATCCCAATGATCAGATCTGAAATAAAAAAAAAAAGGAGGCAGAAAAATAAGTGTAAAATTCTGATCCTGACATTTTGCATTAAATATCTAATCCTATTTTATAGAGGCAGATGAAGCCAGCTACGAGAGGAATGTGAAACCATGATTAGTTTTATAAAAAGCAGCCTCAGATATAAACAAGCTAATTTTAAGAAATTTGAGGCAAACTATCAGCTTTCTGATGAAGAAGTTTAAGGTTGGAGGATCAGTCGTCATTCAGAAGGATTCAGGACATGACGTCTGCAGCACACAAAACTGATCAATACTGTTCCCACTAGTTTTTTTTTCTGAACAGTGACTGTCAATCGCTTGCTTTTGGATAACAATTTGTGAACAGAAGTGCAGCAAATAACTCCTCCAAAGGATGTTTAATAATGAAAATGAACAGACTGGTCCAAAATTATTACACTGAGGAATCTAGCTTGTGTTTTTTTGGGGTCTAAAGTTTGTGTCTAGTGAAGGAAAACTGGGAGCTAGAGTCAGTCTTATGTTGTGCCAAGCTTCCTGTGCGAGTCTGCTGCTGATCCAAAAAAGTCAAAGAGATTAATTCTTTTTCAAGAGGAACATTTTCCAGAAATCAAGGAACAATTATGGGATAATCCATGCATTTTCCCCGCATGATGAAGCATGGTGTCACAAGCAAAGTGGCTCAGAGGCTGATTGAAGAGTTTGAAATGAGAACCTGTAGCCAATTTTCTTTCATAAGCAATGAAAAAGAATAAGCATTTCAAACCTGTTTGTTACGTGATCGATGAGGTGCTGTTTGAACATTAGGCTCCACTTTTTAATGATATTGAGCAGAGTACTCTTCATCCGGCTGCCATCCACCCTCATCCATCCATGGAAGACATGCACTGCCTCCAGGCCCTGGACCTCCTCATACAGATTCTCATAACTACAGGGAAACAGATTTTATTTTACTTGCAGATGCATTTAATCAAAGAGAAATAAATTTTTATTATTATTTTTCCTTCCCACCTACCCATCTATCTGTTCTTTAAAGCTTTCTAGAGTGGGTATACCATCATGGGCTCCACTGTCAGAGAAAACCTCTATGTCAGGGCTTGTGGGATCGTGGCCATACTCCAGGAACTGACGCATGAACTCTTTTCTATCCTCCACGTACAGGTAGCTGTAACACTCCAGCGAGCGGTAAAAGTTGCAGGCGATTTTCATGGCAGCCTTCACACGTTCCATCAGGAGGCGCCGGCTGTCTGCCAGGTCAGCCATGCCTTCCATGTCAGGCTAAGAGGAAAAAATAGATGTTAAAGGCAAAGGCAGGATGAATGGAGGAGATTCATGTCTCTATCTGTTGGGGATCCGTCCAGCCAGCTTTACCTGGTAGTGGGGGGAGGGGCTGTGCTGGGCGAGCCGAGGGACCAACGAAGACATTTTGAAGACGTCGTTGATGAGGCTCTCCACCACCTCAAACAAACTATCCGAATCCTCCAGCTCCAGAGAGGGGGAAAAGACCAAGGCAGAAGCCTGTAGATCCAGTCGAGTTTCAAAGAGATGGGCCATGCCGCTTCTCTGATCTGTGGGAAGAATAAAAAACATGGAGCATATTACTGCTTTGCATATTAATGGGAATTCACCAGTGATTAGAAACTGGAGATAACTATTATAGAGGCAGTTATAATGCAAAATATTGGTTCGATCATTTAGAATTTTAACAGTTTAGACATTTTACACTTTAATATCTAGAAATTGTAACTTTTTACAGGGCTGCATGGTGGAGCACTGGGTAGCGCTGTTGCCTTGCAGCAAGAAGGTTCTGGGGCCCGGGGTCTTTCTGCATGGAGTTTGCTTGTTCTCCCTGTGCTTGCGTGGGTTTTTTTCCGGGTACTGCGGCTTCCTCCCACAATCCAAAAACATGACTGTTAGTTTAATTGGCTTCTCTAGATTGTGCTTAGGTGTGAGTGTGTGTGTCTGCATGGTTGTGTGTCTTTGTGTTTCTCTGTGTTGCCCTGTGACCGACTGGTGACCTGTTCAGGGTCTAGTCCACCTCTCGCCCATAGACTAGGCAGAAGAAAATGGATGGATGGTTGATCTTTCAACAAGTTTAAACATGTAACAGGAAAGAGGTGCGAGAGCTACACTTCAGAAAATTACACTTATTTATTGTATATACAAGTAACTTTTGCAAATAAATTTTTCTTCAAATAAGTGAATTTTTTTTTCTTGATTGAGGAGGTTGCCAGGGGAACAAGACAATTTACATTTATTATTATAAAAAAAACAAAAAAACAATTGCATTGTCTTATTTCAGGGGCATAAAATCTAATTATCTTATTTTAAGTGGGAAAATACAATGATTACAATAAAATGATTTGATCATTTTCTCCCTTTTATCTCCTCTTTCTTTCATCTTTTCTCCTTTTTCCTGTTTTTCCTTTCCTGCTCTACTTACTTTGCAGTGTCCATATAATCTGAAACACTCCCTGCATGAATTAAAATAAATCAGAAATCAAGAGGGACACTATGGCGATAGCCGTATTGCTCCACTTGTGAAAGTAAAATCTGCTGGGCCCTTTTTGGGCATAAAGACAATTATTCTTATTGCCACATTGCCAGACAGGACACTGTTAAAAGAAAATAAAATAAGGGTAAAAATACTCAATCCAAAGGGAAATCCTCTTATTTACCTCCTCAACTTAATGGTAAATACTCTTATTTTAGTAATTTCTTTACTAATTATAAGGTAAGTTTTGCAGTGTTGACAGCTTGCCTGTTTGTGAGTGACCAAATACTTATCTTATTTCACAATAATTGACAAAAAAAACTCTCTGTAAAATGTCTATAATGTGATTGCCTGGATGTATTTTCCCATGATGCTTCTCATAGGTGAAGTGCACCTATGATGGATTTTACAGCCCTCTCTCATCTTTCTAAGGAGGAGAATTTGCATCAGTGGCTGACGAAATACCTTTTTTGCCCGACTGTATGTTAATGTGTTAAGGTTAAAGCATACAGGCCGAATTGCTTTTTCATCACCTTCTCTTTACTCCTAACTAAGAGAAGAGAGAACTCCCCATATGCAGAATCGGAAATAATTTTAGATTTCGGTCAAAATAATTATTTCTTGTTTTATTGCAGAAAATCATTCAGTTCTATCTTTTGCAACAAGAATCCGCTTCCATTCTTGGTGACTGAGTGAGATGTGACTCGTCTATTCCACAGTGGAAATGGCAATAAACCTGCAGCCATGGTAATTGAAATCCCCGGGGATAATTATGTTTCTTTTTATGGTCAAACTAGAAATTAAAGCAATTTTATTTTCATTAATTTCGGTAAATTCTTGGCAAATTGCAAATTATGTTTTGGATATGCTTTAAAGATTAAAAAAAGAGTACATGAGAGGATTTATTTTACTTATTTATTTATTTTTTTACATGAGAGGATTTATAACTAAACAGTCCCATTCGCAAACTGAATGAAGAAATGGAGATAATGAAAATGTTTTGGTTTTCATTTAGTAGCAGGAGTGGATTTATGTGATTTAACAGCAAACCTGACCTTTATATAACATATCTGTTATGATTGTCCCTTTTTGGACTTCTTTTTGAGTTTTCAGTTATTTATGTCATTCTGTTTTGTTGGTCATTGGTTTCTTTTCCATTTTGTGATATATTTGAAAGTGTGTTGCATCTTTAGAGTTACTCTCTGTTGCCCCCTTGTGCCAGTCTCCTCTCCTTTAGCTCCCTTCTAGTTACTTCTATCTACGTCTGCTTCATATTAAGCTCAGTAGTCCATGCTTTCTTCCATCTCCCATATATACTCCTCCGGAGTTCTCATTGCCGGTTTCTTGTTGTTGGCTCCCCATGTGTTTGTTTACCCCTGACATCTCCTGGTTTTTGAATTTTGTTTCTGTTACTTTTTTGATTTAATTAAATTTGCAGGAACCCATCTCTGCCTCCTCATCTCTGCATTTGGGTTCTAAACCAACCTTCACCCAACTTAAACAATAAGACAGTGTTATCACTATGATCTTATTATCTAAAGAAATATTTTTATTATTTTGAAATCCTTAGGCACGTGCCCAGGGTAGATGTAGGCCTAACCCTACAGATTTATTTTTATAAAAAAATAAAAAAGCTGGTGTCTATATTCAAAAATGACTCAGGTAAAACACATCGTTTTGCCAGACACAGGTAGAAATAGCTTAATAAATCAATAACGATATTAAATAACAATTAAATTGTATTATTCAGGTGGGGTATAAGATGAATTTAGACTCGCTGAGCTATAAGTAATAGTCCCCCCCGAAAAATAAAAACCTGGTGATACAGTTGAAAGAAAAGAAATGTTGAAATATAGGGTATAATAAATCAACTGGTTCCAAGTATTGATGCATGAAATGTTTTTCTGCAAGGGCATCATAACTCTAGATTTACTGTCTTTTGTTTACCATATCTAATCCATCAATTAGATTTTTAATGTTCATTGTTGCAAATCAATGAAAATACCCTTTATTCATCATTTATTTCATGCTGAAAGTCTTACAGAAGTTTAATTCCTAGAGTTTGAGCTTTAATATTTTTGCTTTCTACAATCCATCTGCTTTGCAATGATGCATCCTCTACAACTGCTTACCTACGCAGATGTTTACCACAACAGATAAATTTACTTTTTTTTTTTTCTGGTCTCACCTTCAAACAAGCTGTTTCGATGTACTGTAGATTGATTTGGAGACTCCCAAACCGCCACTCTTTAATGAGGAGATTTTATTACTCTTTTACTATCTTGCTCACTATGTGGGGAGGCAAGATAAATATTGGATCTCATCCAGGCTTGTCATCAGTGGTTTAAAAAAACGAGTCTCTGTGTCATTTCATATCTATGCTCCTGTTGAAAAGAAGCTATAGATTCCTAATTAAAAGTTCCTAGAAACTGTGACTGACTTGAAGTAAAGTTTAAATCAAAGAAATGAGTTATATGCTGTGATTTTAAAGGAATCCTAAGGAGCACCGGTGAATATTCCTCTGGTCATTTTTTTTTTTTTTTTTTTTTTTTGTATAACAGCCAACCTCCCAATAAAAAAGAAAAACAGATCTCAAAATGAACTCAAATTTTAGACGGATGGACAGACTGCTATAGGTAGCAGTAATTCTGTTGCCTTCTATTCACTGGTGTCAATAGTACACACATTTGTTACTTAAGTAGAAGTATAGATACTGCAGTTTAAAAACACTCTGGTAAAAGTTGAAGTATCAACTTGACCTCTTTACTCAAGTAAAAGTGGTAAAGTATGTGCTTCAAAAACTACTTAAAGTATAAAAGTATAAAGTAACCTTTAAAAAAAACAGCCAGATGCCACTATTAAGAATTGAAAGCTCAATTTTTCGACTATTTTGAAAAATTCTTAGAGATAGGGCCAAGGATGAGGGAGGCCTTGTTGGTCTCCATCTCCCGATAAGCTCTCGCCTGTGTCCGACTTTTCAGACATTTCAACATCTTTTTCTGAATCCAACATTGTAGCATGGCAAAGATAATTCGCGTTTGCAGTTTGAAGAACACCTGCTTGCTTCTGATGATTTCCTTTAGCTAACCAATGAGTGTTTGCGTTATATGACTCATACAATTACACTAGTTTTCACTACATGTGGATGGAACCAATGATCTGCATTGGATGACGCAGATGACATAAAATAAATATCTATAGACATAAAACCGAAGCCAAGAGTAACGAGTAACGTTTGTTTTAAAAATGTAAGGAATAGAAAGTACAGATACTTGTGTGAAAAAGATAATGAGTAGAAGTCAAAAGTAGGAAGAGTAAACTATAGATACATAAAAGGTGTACTTAAGTAAAGTAACAAAGTATTTGTACTTCTTTACTTGACACCTCTGCTTTTATTGTTAAGAAAACAAGAACTTTTTACCCACTGAATAAATGTATTTAACAGCATGAGATGAGATTCTGTCACTGCACTAACAGAGGAATTCATTTTAAGGCTCTCTGTGTGTCTTGAAAAGAGGTGCCAACAAATTTGTCTCCATCTGTGCTTCAGAGACTTCTTGATCTTGACAGTTTTTTGTTTCTTTTCCATTTTCTTTTTTTTTTTTTAAGGGAAAAGAACACACATCAAGGCTTGGACACAGCAGCAATTTGCAAACACTCCAGCTCAATTTGAACCACATCTCCGTACATCTAAACTGGCTCACAAAACCCATGCCAGCAAGTGAGTTCCCAGCTTTTGCATGTCCATAATCCGGCCAATAAAGGTGGACACCCAACTGACATCAAAGCCCCTGAGAACATGTTGCTAAAGAGCTGTCCCACTGAGTGCTGGCTGAGAGAGGCTGTAGAATCAGAGTAATGAGCAGCTCTGAATTCTCTCCTATTAATATTTGAGTTGGCAGCAGCATTCTGTTGGCATTTAGACAAGAGCAGTAACAGCCTCAGCATGACTGTGACACTCCTAATAACACAGGCACGCATTGCTTTTTAGATCTACAGTTCAAACAAGGTTCCTACCTGCACCTTAGAAAAATGACCTTTATTCACCACTATCTGAAACCAAATCAGACTAAAGTTTGACAATTAAATAAAATTGGAATTATGATTTATAAGATTTTCTTTTAAATATTGAGTTATTCAGATTAGTTTTTTGTACTGTCTTTCAAAATTGAGATTTTGCATACTTTGCTGAAGGTGAAAAAAGTATCTGCTCAAAAACTGCAAAATATCCTTGAACATCATAGAGATCTAACGTCATTACATCACTTATAAAAGAGATAAAAAACAATAGTATAACTCTTCTAAAGTGGCTAAAGTTAGTTAAATCTAAAGTGTAATGAGGCTGTATAAATACATGGTACTAAATGCAACTTATTAAGACAGAAACCTTACTCTAAAAGTAACATAAAAAACTTGAATTACAGTTTTCAAATTGGATTCTTTGAGACGGCCTCAGCAGATAGAGAAATTGCCATATTTTCTGTCTGAAGCCTTTGGGAGGAAGGCTGTCGAAACATTATGTAAAAAAAGAAATTTTTTAAAAAAAAAATCCATTTTGGCTTTAGAGTACAGGGATGGCAATAACATGGTCATATCTGAGTGCTGGAGGGATGTGTTCGCTAAAAAACAGGCAGCTTAAGGAAAAAAAACTGAAGCCCTTTTTTATTGGAGGGACATTAAGTCATTTTATTGTGCTTTATAAGCTCTTCTATTGTTGCAACAGAATTGCACTCAAGTCTTTTCAGTTTTTAAGGTCCACACCTTTTTCTCAAAAAGAAAAGGGCCCGTTATTTGGGGCAGGGTTATGTGCTGAGCAGGTGGAAATGTTTAAACATTGTCTTAGAAAATGTAAAATTAACTTACATTTTGGGCACAAATGGATGATCTGGAAAGAACAAAGACGCTAAGAAAGTGTCCGAATCACAAAATGATTTAGGGACCATCAGAAAACCCTGAGCTCAGCCCCATAGAAAGTTTTGGGAAAAAGTTTTAAATATGACAGCCTATAAACCTTACTACAGTACAGCTGTTTTTACAGGAAGAAAGAGCTGCAATTCTAAAAAAAGAACACCTATAATGTTTGATCTCAGTACTTTTGAATTAAATTATTATTATTATGTCTAAGGGGCGTCATTAAACATCTGCCCTTGAAGAAAAAAAATCCTTACAGGGTTATTTTTCTTTGGAAAATGAATTTCTGTGACACTAAATAACACGATTGTTGTCTGGTCTATTTTCAGGCAGTTAGAAAAACAGTACATGTTTTTAATGCAGTGCTGGGCATTATCTGGTTTGAGCTTTGTTTGCTATTCATTATCCTACCAGTGTTGTCCAGGAAGAACTTGAGAGAGCAGTCGATGGAGCTGAAGAATCCATCTATAACCATGTCATCAATATATTCCACGTAGGCCTTCCATTCCTCGGAGGAAGGGTCCGCTCTGAGCAGCTCCTGATTGCTCTAAAACATAAAAAGCAGGACGATCTTTGTAAATCATTTAGAAACTGCATTAAAATGTAGTTCAAAGGGAATTCCAAGTCCCTGCTTGAAGATGTCTTTTTAAAATGATGAAACATTAGTGAAACCTTAGGAGAATTGAACATGTCTCAATCATCAGAGAAGTACCTTAAGCAGAAAGTGGATTTGTTCTCCGGAGGACTGCACCAAATTGTGAAACCGCTTCACCCTCTCAGCCCGGTCCTCCAGGCAAAGAAGAGCTTCCTTTTTGCCATCTTTTCTGTCAAACATGGGGACGGCCCAAGACCTCATGTACCTCTGTATCTCTGCTACATTCTCCTTTGCCCTTTTCAGCCTGCTCTCGAAATCACAGACAGCATCTCGGATGTCTTGGATATACTGCCAAACACCTGAAAGACAAGTCTGCATTAGAATCCTGAAACATATACAGTATTGTTTGTTTGTGAATTTTAAAGTCTTAAGAGTAAGGGCCTTGCAAAAACATCAAAATGTCCCACATTTTGTCACATTACAAAGTAAGTTAAGAATGTGTTATCAGGATATTCTGAAATAGGCAAAAAAAAAAAAAAAGAGGAGTATAATATATAGAAAAATGACTAAAAACAAAAAAAAAGTTTTCAAAATAACAATATCTTATAGAAAATAGAATTTAATACAGACAGGAAAAGTATGCAGAGCATTTGTATTCAGCCATTTTTTGCATTGAAATCACTTGAAGCACAACTAACTTTGTTATTGAACATTAGTGACTAACCAGCATCACAAATACCAAGATCATAGAGCTTAACTCTATGTCTCCTTGAACCCCAGTCGGCTTCAGCAGATGGCCCTGCACATTGAGCCTGGTTTTGCTGGAGGTTCCTTCCTGTTAAAAGGGAGTTTTTCCTCTCCACTGTCGCTACAAGCATGCTTAGTGTGAGGGATTGCCTTCGACTCAATGAGTCGATGCAATCAACTAGTTTTCCTTATATTGAAAACTTTGAATCAATTTGACTTTATCATTTGGTTGAACTGTAAAGTGCCTTGAGATGACATGTGATGTGAATTGCCGTTATATAAATAAACTGAATTGTAGAGTATTAATTGTCCAATGTCAGAAAATGGAAAAAGCATTGCTCACAAACTTAGAAAGACGATTAGAGGAGGGACATGGTGAAGGATTTGAAGCAGTGTCAGATGTTGGATGACTAGTCCACTCAAATCTGGGGGTTATGAAAGAATTAACAGAAGAAAGCCTTTGTTGAGAGAAAGCTATAAGATGTGCCTATTAGAGTCTTCTTCAGACCATGAAGAAGAACTTTCTCCTATCCGGGGAGACTAAAACTGAACTTTCTGACCTGAATAAAAACATCACAGTACATGTGATCAAAATCTTAAAGTGCACTTTAAACTAATCAAACAATCCCTAATGGTGAAATGGGGCTGATAACATCATGGTGTGGAGGTTCTTTTCATGAGCAGGGACGGAAAATATGACAGAGTTGATATAAGGATGGATATAACCGAGGAATCATGAGAGAAAACCTGTCCTTCTATTTCTACATCCTACTCCCTTCTTCGCATCCATCATATCCGTTGCTTGACTCCCCCCTCCAAAAACAGAAGTAAATACATAAATATTACTGTAATGCATCAATCTATCTCCACCACAAAGTGTATAGATCCAGATTTAGTTTAGGTTATTCTGTTTAGATGTATATTTTCTAATGGGTGCATATTTTAGTTACTATGTCTGAATGGTTTAACTCACTGATCAGCTGGAAGTGGAAGCTAGGAACATACCACTTTCCCAAAGATCTGAGGGGGGAATTTTGTTTAAGTTGATCTTATATTTTCACCTTAATAATCATTATTTGTGGTAAGTCACAGTCATTTTGTTTAATATATTTTAGTTTTGTATGGATTTTTTTGATTTGTTGCTTCTCTGTTATATTGTGCCTCCCTCATGTGGCAAGTTTAGGTTATTCCACCTCTATTTAAGCAGCCTGGGTTTTTTCTCAGTAGGTTAGATTTTGTTTTTGAATTAGTTACTGCTCAGTTAATCTCAGTTCAGTTGGGCTCAATCCATGTTATTTATTATTTAAGCTATTTTGTTTCGACATTTTATCCTTTTTGAACTATTTTTTGACATTATTAAATCAACTTTTTATTTTTTTTTTAACTCCTTTGTCTTTATTTAAGTTTGGTCCCTCACAATTACCTTTAAAGGTGCAAAGTACGCAACTTCACAGTCTAGATTTAGATAATCCTTTAAAATATAAATGTACAAATAGGAGCTGATTTTGAGGGAGACAGAGTATCTTTGAGGTAGGTGTAAAATATTTTTATTGAATATATCTTACGTCAAACTGAAATAACCATTGTAAAGATTTCCCAACGTCTTCAACTGCAAATCCATAGTGTTTGAATGATGCCTACTTATTTTTTAGTACCGTATTACTATAATACTTTGAATATAGATTTACTAATAACTTAAGCAGAGGTGTTAATGTTACCAGCTTCATGCTTAATGTACAGTAAGTTTCCTAATATCCCCAGCCTGTGCCTTTTAATATTCTCAGATACATACACCTGCTCGACATGCAAGTGTGTAATTGCTGTGTGTTCCTGCAGAGTAAGGCTGTCCCCACAGACGGCTGAGTGCACTGGCTTGTAGCATAAACACGCCTGTTATTCCTGCTCTGTTCTGCTTCGAGTCCTGGGGTCGGAAAAACTAACAACACATCCTGCTGCTGTGCGTCAATCAGCCCATATCAATGATTAAACAGCTCCTTTATTCCTTTTTCATAAGCAAAACCTTTCAGTTCACCTTATATTCTCAACCCGACCGCAGCGCCCTCGAACAGACAAGGATAAAGGGACACAGGAGGACAGAGTATGGCTAAACAACATGGGTAAATATATAAAAAGGTCTTTTGCAATGTTTTCATTTATTAAAGAAAACATATTCTGCTTCCTTTTAAATGAGCTCGGATGAGTGCATGGGCAATGCAAAATATATTCATTACATTTTTTGTAAAAAAAAAAAACTTCTCTCATATAATGAGATTTGATCTCCTAATTGAACCCCCCACCCCCTTGTTCACATAAAAATGTCTGCAAACCCTAAATCAGACCCAGAAGAGAAGAAATGGAACCTTATGCACAACCAGTACAGATGCAGTCACTGACTCCTATACAGTGGTGGATGAAGTACTCAAAATTAGTACTTGAGTAAAAGTATTCATACTCAGTCAAATCGTTCTCAAATACAAGTGAACTTTACTTTCCACCATTGATTTTATATAGTAGATAAATAGCACTTTTTTTTTTTTTTGCCTTAGCATGTGCTAAATGACAAAAATTTTCTTAGTGAAAAACAATAAAAGAAAATACATTAGACACGTAGTTAGGCACTTGCATTTCTTAGCATTCTTGCTTTGTAACAAACTATAGGGGCAGCCAAATGTTATAAATGAACAGCAAGAATTCTTTTTTTTCCTCAGCAGCCATTTTGCAGTGCAGGCAGAGGACATGCCACTCTGATAATGATAATAAGGTGGGCGGAGCTTCATTTGGGTTGCGATGAGAAGTGCTGGGCTTGCCTGGGGTTGATGGATGAGAGCAGTGACTGCAATGTAATAATCTGGAGGTTTCTGATTTCTGTTATCTTGTTTACCAGAAAACAAAATTTTTAAGGAATGTAGCCTTAAAAAATGGTGAGATGTTTTTTGTTTGTTTTATTGGTTCTAGAAGCTGTAGGGAACCAAACTTAAGTTCAAAAATGTGTAAAAAAAAAAAGAACTTTGCACACAAAAAAACAAAAACAAAAAATTAAGCAAATCTACCATGTAGTAAATGTAATTTTAAGTCTACATAACATAATAAAAATCTACAAATTGAGTATAATTTTTTAAATCCCCTCGTCAGCCATTTCATCCAGGTTTGTGGAGGCAAAGATGGAGGATATCAGACCTCGTGGAGAACTTTGCAGTTTCCTTAATAAGATTGATTCTTGTTTTGGTGAAAATGTTTACAGTTTTGTTAAAGAGGTGTAAATACTCTTTAGCTTACCTTTATTTAATGATTTTATAGTAATTTTGGGCAGACATTCGCTCCATTTAACATGCTTTTGCAACCAATTGAGAATTCAACTTTGTCTCCTCATAATTACATAAAAAAAAACCTCCTAATTAATGTCTATATAAGGATGTCTGATTGGTAAAAAAAAAAAAACACCCTGGAATGAGGAAGAGCGGTATGGCATGTGGTAGGGTTGACCATTTTTGCAGACGATGTGGTTCTGTTAGGGTCCTTAAGTCATGACCTTCAGTTGTAATGGAAAGGCAGAAATTTTCAAGTTCTTTTTCAGGAGTAAGGGCAGCATAGAGCAGAAAATGCCTCAACTCTCAACTATGTTAGCAGGAAGTAGATTTTGGCTAAAAAGAAAGGAAATAAGTAGGCCTAGGCAAAATATCGATTCAATTATTTAATTTCTATTTTTGTGCTGCGGGCGATTTACAAAAAAATCTAATAGATTTCTTTTATAACGGCCCATTTTTGGCTACCTGTAGTATCTGCAGCAGCAGTATTACTCTCATGTTGCTGTCTGACAAGCGACAGCGTCACACAAAACAGCAAATGACATCATAAATGCAGATGAATGAGAGATTTTGTTCTCAAAAATGGAATAAAATCAACTGTTGTTTGGTAATGCAGGGCTTAAAGTTCTCCGGCGTAGTGGCGGATTTCTGGCATGCAGCAACTGCAGTTGGAGATTTCGTTTTTTTCGAGAGGGGAAAGTATGTTCATAACAACACCAGTGGTTACTCTGACTGCTTTTCAGAAGGCATTACAACCCAAACAAACTTCAGCCAAGATAGCAAAAATGGCAGTGAATAGTGGCTTGTAAACATTAGCAACACACAAGGTTCCCCGCGATGGAAGGCGTGGCAAGTTTATTTACATGCAGTTGTATTAGAAGAAATGTGGTTATGTATTGAAATGCATATTCAATACAAAATTTAATATGCATTCAATTGTGGAGGGGATTTGAAAAAAACGTAAATCCAATTTTAAAAAATTTGGCCATTTTATTTTTAGGCTATATTGCCCAACCCTAGAAATAAACTTTCTTCATAGATTGGTTGGGTTTACTGTTCCACAACACTGGGCATGCACAGACACCTCATGCCAGATAAACACTGCCAGTTTGTGCACTCTAATATATTGAATCTGTATTATATATTTTTTTCCACTCTCATACCCGGTGTTCTGTCAGATGAGCATTCCCGGTCAGACCAGCATACTCCTAGTCAATACCCGCTTATCCCTTTAATGTATCCCTTTAGTTTATTCCCATTTAACCCATTAGTTTATCCCTTTAGTTTTGTACAAAAAATAAACTTTAAATCAGAGTGTATCCTTTTAGTCAGAAATACAATTTAATTACTTACTTTTGGTGGGGTTTTTTTAAGCATATGGCGATCTCACCTTAAATTATATATTTTTTTGAACATGACTAAAGGGATACACGCCCATTGAGGTAATTTAAAGTACAATTCTACATGTATAAACTCACATCTGAGATCCAGCGAATGTGTATTGACTATGGGTATGCTGGTCTGACAAGGTATGCTCATTTGACAGAACATCGGTTTTAAAAAATGATCCCTAATCCTCTCCCAAACTGCTGGTTCTATCTGTACAAACAGCTTAAACAACAAAATATATTTTCAGCTACACCTAATGCTGTTTCAGTTCAAATGGGGCATCATATTAGAAGTTCTGTGCTCTAAGCTTGACAGTCTGTATCTCAGAGCAACGTTAAAGAAGCTTTTAACATTTTTTATTTATATGACAACATATAGGATACATAATTGACAAAGACATGATAAGGATGAAAATACCACCATTAAGGTACCATAACTGGCAAACCTTTATGTGTTAAATTAAACTGGGAAATCATGATCTGCTGCAGAGCAACCAAAACCCTGTTCTTAACTGACCTATTCTACACATTATAAAAACAGAGGTCATTTAGGGATTAGAACCACGTTAAAGTTAGACAAGTATAAAAAATGTATGGGCTTGTAGAAATGTAATCCACAGTGGTTACAAATTCTGGAAAGCCTAGTTTGTAATTTATGAAACTCTGTTTGCAAAATTTTATTTTTTTTCTTTGTTTTCCTCAAGTTGTCATTAAAATCTGTTCCCTATCTTTCTAACGAAATGAGTTAAATTAAATATCTCATCTTGTGAACTGGATGTATCCTCTCACCACGATGTTTGGCACCGAAAACAATAAAAATCTGTTTAAATAAATCATATATTATGTTAGCTTCACCATCAATAATCTATTGACTCCTCAATAAAACAAAAGATCTCAATGAAGATGGTGGCTTTTTTTAAAAGTCATTTTTTTCTATTAATTATTTATTTGGACAAGGCTGTAAATTATTTATCAAGACACTTATTTTGAAGATATTTTGCTTTGCAATTGTAATGGAATTTATAAATGCTGTGAGCAAAGCAAGCGGAAAGACGTGCATGTTTTTGTCATATTTCTAATTTGCATTATGGTGCAGGCGGACAGTAGCAAACCCACTGGCATGACAAAATACTACTGCAGTGAGAGAAAAAAAAATCTCCCCCTTCAATGCAAGAAAGTGTAAAACTATGCAGACATGTTGCTCTTAGACGTGCTATGTGTTACTTATCCGCTGACCTTGGCAATTCCAGTTTAGACTCTCCTCTGCTTCTTTCAGCTGAGCATCGATGTCTCTGAGTTGACCCTGAATCAGAGGACGCTCCACATCCAGAGCAGACAACATCGCCTGCATTTAAAGGAGAAGAAGGAAGAAAAATATTCCAAAGTTAATGTTCTTTTTGATGAAACCAAAACATTGTGAAGCTGAAATACAAATGAGTTTGTATTGCTTCAATAAAGTCACAATTTCAACATCATTTGCAAGTTTTTTACCACTTAAGACAACCCAAATGTTGCTCCAGCTGAAAACTACTTTTTGTTTTTTTTTTATATGATAAACTTAATTGAGGAGGGTTTGATAAATGCAGCTGTGGATAATATGAGCTGTCTGCCGCGTTGCTGTGTTAATTACATCAGTGATTTCTTGCGTATTGTTATATTATTCATCACTGACACTGCTATTCCCCTCTGTTCAGTTCCAATTAAGACCAACCGTGTTAAAGTGTCTTGGGTAAAGACAAGGCATATTGTTATTCATTTTTCAAACAGGTGAACAAACACTGTGATCTTCTCTCTGTGAAATTCAGGAATGACTTTCACATATGTCAGAAATGACAGGAGAAGAGTAAATAGTTTTCTGCAAAGGTAATTTATGATGGGGCAAATTCCAATGTAATTTCAGTCCATTACTGGCATCATTTATTTATAGACACCTTTGCTCTCTTTACAAGTTATATGAGTTTAAAGCATCCTGTGAGCGTAAATGACAGTTAGAAATGATACAACTGGTCCTATATATGTCTACCATCCACAGTGTGAATCCATGTCCCCTAGAATATGATACTCTGACATATGTTGCATCCATGATCTGTCAGGATTAAAACAGCAATTTACATCAATTGTTGGATGCAATCAGCTGCATTTCCTTAGATAAAAAAATTGCATAACATTTCTCCGTAATGATTGAATATTTAACTTTGCTTCTATTTCTGCTTAGCAATAAGAAAATATTGACTCTTGCAAACCTTGTTGTATCGGGCTGTGGTAAGTTCCAGGGTAGCCACATACTGCCACAGCTGCTCCCTGGCTGCGTGGATCTTCATTGCAGCTTCTGGTATGGCTTCGGTGGGTCCACCCAGCAAATACCGTACTTCTCTAAGCACCGCTGCCAGCTGGGAAGTAGTAAAAGAGTCAAAATCGACATGATTAACACTACATCAAGGTATGTTTGTTGTTGCTGTTCAAACAGTTCCAAAGACCAGAGCAGGACAAATTGATAATTATCTCATCAATAATTGAAAACTACAAGTAAACTTAGGGAAGTTTATGTATGAAAGGGATTACAGATTAAATCTTTATGTAACCAAACCAGACTTTTTATGCTTGGTCAATTAGAATGATCATTTTATTTATTTCATATCTACAGTATATTGTTGTGGCTTTAAAGGTATGCCTCCATTAAGCTTTTTTTATGTGAGATTTCAAAACAATAAGATAATCATCGTTTTTGTTTTGGCATTTAGAAAAGACAAATAATTTAGATAATCCAAATTACCTAAGGTAGTCTGAGTTATTGTCAGATAGTGAGAAAAAAAAATGTTATGCACTGTAACTGTTAATTGTGGACAACATTATGATAATACAGAGTTCATTTTTTATGGCATAAAAAAATATATGCTTCATGTCTTAAATTAAAGCATAGATGATGGCATGACTTATTTTTTAATGTGCCAAACATACAGTGAAACTATCATAATTCTAGTCAAGGTTTACCATGATATGTCATAAAAGCCTATGTCTATTTTCAGGCAATGTGCAAAATAAATATAAAAACCTGAGGCTTGAAATTGACAGAGATCAGATGAGTGTCCGAGTCTCTTGTGATTAAAGGCAAACTGAGGTTGTACTGCGAGCTCTCGCTCACGCCCTCTGTCCACGTCTCATACAAGTCGGAAGAGTATCTGAAAAACCAAACACAAAACAGACAAGCTTTAAACATAATCAAGCTTTTATAGAAAGCAAAACATTTGCATCGACGTTGCTTCACCTTTCCATAAAAAAAAAACTCAGCCTTTATTTTACAGATATAGACGAATATGCTACGACTGTGAAATTTACATAAACAACAAAACAAGCGGCTAAAAGGCGTATGATTGAGCCATTTTATCAACCCTCTGAGGTTGTAAATCGAATGAGAGGCGTGATCCGCCCGTCTGTGTCAGCAAACAATAAGGGCAGAGGGAGCAGAGTGAAGGAGTGCTAGTTGCAAACATGTTGGGGGGTATAATATGAGGATAAACGCTGAATCATCTGCGAAAGGCAAACAGACAAGATGTCAGGGTTCTGTACGTTCACATCAATCTGTAAATAGCCACATTTATGATGAGAACTTCAGTGTGCGCAGCGCGTTCCTTATTGAATCTCTGCTTTGAGCTTCATTTCCTGATAGTGGCACTGCAGACTCAGAGGCAATCAAAAGCCTCGGTCATGGCCATAAATCAAGCTGCATTTTGTCTGTGGGGGTAATGAGTGAGGATGTCAGTCCTGTTCCTAAATGGAATATGTATAATAATAGTAGCATTCATCGGAGGGAGCTGAGATGATTATTACTGAGGAGGATGGGCTCTAATTTCTGATGGGAGTAAATTGTGGGCAAATAACTAGTCATCCCTTGACTCTGTTCTGGGGGACATGAACTGAAGAAGTAAAGCTTGTAAAGCACCAACGAGGAGTTCTCAGTCTGCAGCTGTATAAGAATATTAGAATTTATGCACAGCTGTATATGGTACACATTACCCATTCCATATAAGGATGGATATCCAGTTGAAATCTGATGTGTTTTTATAGTGATCCTTTCATTTGTTTTAGCTTAGTATTGTACTTATTAGCTTTTAACTATTTATTACATTTTAGGGTTTAACTGCATTCTTTTAAGAATGAGTGCATTTTGCTCAAAAAGATGCATCTACAATAATGAAACTCATTTATCTCAAACATTCCATAGAGAATTTTCTAGCCGGGGAGATTATAAAAAATATATAAAATCTTTGCTTAAGTTAAAATTGTTTTAATATCTTATCATTGCTGCCACCAATACATTTCTTGGTGATTGAAAGCCAAATGGAACATTGGAGTTCCTTCATTGCAAGCTTTGACAAAGCAAAAGATAAAGAAACAATTCTGTGTCACAGCTAAAGCTAAATTAGCTTCAGCTGGATGCTTCTTTAATACAATTCAACTATCCTCACAGACGCAAGTAAAAAAAAAAGGCCAAACAATATGTGTTGTAAAGAAAAACACATAATTGTAAACGAAAACTCTTTTTCATTGACAACGAAAAGTTTTTTAGTTTTTTTGCATGTGGTCTGAGACCATTGCTCACTTGGCATCAATGAGCAGCGACAATGCATATGGGATTATGGGAGTCCTATGGAAAGATTTGCAGAGCAGCACCACAGTAATGAGGACATAAATCATGCCCAGAACCGCATGCCTACATCCTGATCCACAAGGACCGCTTCATGAATGCTAGACGGTAAACTAACAATATTGCAAAAGCTCTCCATAAAAATAGAGATATTATTAGTGGTTATTACATAACAAATCCTCCTCTTGTTTTAAATGTTCTGCCTTTTAATTCACAGTGCAATAAAGGGATGCCTTCTAGTCCCCCTCTGTCCTGTTCTTTTATTCAGTAATACATATATGATGACACACACTGTAAGGTGAGATGATATCCACACACCTGTCCAGCAGTTGCATCATCTCCTCATATTTCTGGATAACCCTGGCTCCCTGTGCAGACTCCAAGCACCTACAACAAAAAACGAAAGTTTATGACCCCTGCATGATTTCACAATTAATTCCAATGCTTTACACAGGGATTTTTAGGCACATCATAGAGTGGGTTTATCGGGACAGCTTCACAAAAGAGTGAAAACATCAAGCTTGAATTTTGTATTTTGGTTGAAGAGTAACTCACCGAGGTAAGAGGTGCCTCAGTTTGGAGAAGGGGGAGTGGATGCGCTTTTGTAGCTTCTGGGCCCACCTCAGCCCTCCAGATACCACCGGCATATTCTTACCCACTGGTTCTCCGCCTGAGGATGAAAAAACATGCCAATCATTGCACTGAACTACATGGATATGGAGCTTTATGCACATTAAACCCATTCCCTGCAGCTAATATTGATTAAAGAACAGACTGGTCTTTGAAGGGTGATAAACCAAATTTTAAATCTTCTCATTGCTTGAGCCACAGCTTGGCATCTTTCTGGTATCTGCACATTGTAAATCCTTTAGTTTTATGTTTTCATTTCCTTGTTATTATTCATTTATATATTTCACTTGTTGCTATATTTAATGTTTATCAATTAATTCAATAATTACTATGCATACTGTAGATGGTACTTTATTAGTGCATTACATCACCTACAGCTCTCTAGTTTTTTCTTGTGTTGATCCGAATCTCTGCTCAGTTTCTTTCAGGTTAATTAGTCGCCCTACCTAAGCTCTCTGCTTTCACTCTGTCTCATTTTCTGCATTTTTTTCCTGTTATTCACACGTAACCTGGAAGTAGCCATGCTGATGTGTGTAGAACTTAGTTGAGTTCTATGTTATCAATCTGGGATGGTTGCCATTCACTCTGCCCGTGAAAAGGGGGGACGTTTAGTACAATACTTCGGACTAGGTGACATGCCTGCAAGTAGCACAATACGCTTTCAGCCAATCGTAGCAGCGAATCTTGACATTTCGTAAGCTGATAAATTAAGATTTTTCCAAATCCTGTCTGAAGAAAAGCACAGACATCTTTACCATCTATAAATAAAGTGCTTCTATTTGCTCCTTTTTTTAAACGAGAAATTGTTGCTACTTTAACTAAAATTGGATTCATTGTGGTATCGACAGGTGAGTCCTGTCAATGCCTTCTTGACTGTCGTCATTTCTACATGTCCCACCCTAAAAAACACTGCTGGCATGTCATTGGTCCGACCTGCTGGTGGTTTCAAGACCGACATATTAGTGGGAGTCTTTCAAGACGGATTTGCTGTGAGACTGAAAACTCAGAACAATCCAGCTTGCAGCGCAAGGTTAATTCACACATACATTTTATGGAAACTTCCACCACTGCCTCAGTATTTAAAAACCTGACTTCTTATAGGTTAGTGCTCCACTCTTTTGTTCAGCAGGTCTACTGTTCACTGTCACATCCGCTTGTTTCTCCATTCATAAATTATGTCCTGTCGTCTTTATGCATCACCATTTCGCTAGTCTCCAGATTTGTGTTTGTAAGACTTGTATAGTGCTAATTAGACTTAAGGGACTTTAATGTCTGTACTTGGGTCCTTCTCACACCTTCAGTCATGACAATAGATCCCCAATAGATTATTTTTTTTAAGGGGGTTTTGAAGCAAAAATATACATTTTATTTTCGGAAACTAACATCTAATCTGAGTGGGCCAAAGTCAAAACTTGATTTCTCACTGCAAAGGATCCAATATGAGACACTCAAGGTTTTACAAACTTCACTACATCCAAATATTGCATTTGCACAAAACCTTCATACTAAAATGTAGAACATAATCTTATTGCTTTGTAATGAAAAACAGAAACGTAACACTATTTTGGACCTTTGTTAAAATAATCCACAATCATGCAATTACATCAAAGCTTTTGCAGTGTTTTGGTAAATATTCTTAAGAAAAATGTAAAAGAGACAGCTGGTAAAGTTGAAGGGGTGTCTATTATATAAAAGTGCTGCAGCCTTTTTGTAGCACATGGGGTAGAGGGGAGGTATATGATTCTTACATCAAAAGAAGACAGGTCACTCTGGCACATTTTGTAGCATCTTATTGAAATAACATATAATCTGTAGTGATCTATGAAACAAATGCAATTGAAGCAAATCCCTAACCTCTTACCACCTTGCATAGTCTTAATACTGTGTACTGACTCATTAAACTTTAACATTAAACAACTTTAACTTCAAATTAACAATAGTCTTTGCAAAGAGTTATTTACACACACGTGTCTTGGACACATTGCATTACATACCTATTTACAAAAGAGTATAGATTGATGTTTGTAGAAAAGGTCTGACCATGTCAGTATAACAAAGGCCATTCAATGTGTAAAACCAAAATGAAAAGTATAAGCACTAATATTTACTATTATTTATAAAACAGATAATCTGGCCTTATACAGAATACAGTAGCTAACATATATCCTGTTCATGTTTCATATGAAACTATCCAGAGCTGTAAAAAATGAAAATGGTTTGAAAATGGACTCAATAGTGGTTTTATAAATGGCAGATTACTTCTTTAAGATCAGTGTTTTTAAGAGATAGAGCCGGTTTGCCCCAAACTCTCATTAGATTAGTCATTAGATTCTGCCTCTAAAACACAGAAAACACCATACTCAAACACGTTTTACAAAATAAAGACATTAGTATACAGCTCTGTTTTAGACCATACCGTAAATTATCCTACTGATAAAAACGTACCTTCTCTACATGTTTAGTTTACTTGACCGACTATTAAAGAAAGTGTAAAACCTTCTTCCACATTTTAACCCTAACCTGTCTGCTGTGTTCCTTTAAAAAATTGGGTTCCAGTTTTTCTTCTTTTTCTTTCATGAACAAATTTCCAGGCCCTCAGAGTTTTGCTCTGTTTAAACTAAGGTGAAACTGGAGAACTGGAAGGTCTGTGAAAACTATTTAACGCACTGCATACTTTTCAAATTAATATTTGTAAAAGATTTTTCGGAACTTCTGTTGTTTCGTTTCCTCTATACATTACTGTTCAACTTTGTAATGGTTTAATATTTTAGCTTAGAGATCATACATATATAGATCCAGTTGGCCTAGTGGGTTAGAGCGGTGCGCTTGTGCTCTGAGAAGGTTGCAAGTACCCAGTTTGATCCCCACACCCTGCACTCTGGGTTTCTGAGCAAGACCCTTAACCCCACAATGCTCCCCAAAGAGATGGGTTAAATACAGAGAGGGAATTTCATTGCGCTGTACATAACAATAAAGTTCAATTCTATACTTCTTGTCTTGAAACTTGCATATTTGCTATTTTTGTCTTTTCTCTTTCTTTCATGTTATTAAATAAAGACCTAAGCTGAGGGAAGCGAGGCCTGCCTTTAGTTACTTTTGTCTGTTTTTGCGACTGCCTGGATGAGTTGATGATGTGCTCTTGGAATAATTTAGATTTAGAGCACTGTAAGGGAGTTCAGAAGCTTCCCTGGAGTCCCAAAGCCTTGCAATTGGCTTTATAACCATTTATGTCATTTTTAATCTGGGTTTTAATTTCTCCAAATAAATCAGCAATGTGCTGCTCTAATTAATATATTTTAATAGAGCAAAAACTTAAAATCTTATTTCAGTTGTTTACAGATTCTATAGGTCAGAGCTGTTGCAAAAAAAATCCTTTTTTTTAAAGTTAATTCATTATCAAACTAAGGTGATAGTTTTAATTAACATAAAGCCAGACTTGCATTAGTTGTTGTTTCTATTTAGTAATATCATTACATAAATAATCTTTAAAGAACAATATATTTTTTTACCCATTTTAACTTTGCTGGGGATTTAACTTTTTATATTTTTATATTATTAACAGCCCTGTGCATTAAGGTTTGTGACAACAAGTCAAGTTGTATAAAAGATCAAAACATCTAAGTACGTTTACAATTGTTAAAGAGGAAGAGCTAAAACAAGCTGGGCAAAACAAATGTTAGCCCTAGAGAAATCACAGTTTTAAATTGATCAAATGTGACACCAACTTTATTTTAGTTTCTGCAATAACTAACAAAGGCCAAAGAAAAAAAGAAGAAACCAAAATCCCCAGATAAAGAACTCTATTAGAGGTATTTATCGATTTGTTGTGGTTTTCAACTATATTTACACTGACTTATTGGACTTTATTTCTAAGAAAGACTGCAGGAGGTTCTGCATTTATTTAGACAATGGAACTTTTCTTTTGGGAGACAAGCAGCGCAACAGTGTTGTGAATGAGAATTACTTTTACACGGTTAGGAAATCAATTTGCACTGCAGCATGTAAGGGAGCCTGAGAAACTGCACAATAGGTGTGTTATGGATTTAAAGCCAGCAAGTTTTCAATGGTTTTTGCTCTTCTAAGGTATAAAATTAAAACTATTTAAAATAAAAATAAAAAGATTTCAGAATATCCCTCAGGCATTCTAATCAAACTCATTGCTCACTGAACAGAAACTTATTTTCTTAGCAACATTTCAGCCTTTTTAAGAAACTTTGAGCAAAATATAAAAAGTCATCTTACCAACAAAAAGAAACTGTCTTAAAACATAAATACTTTCTGGGAAATTCATCTTATAACCTGAGGTAAATACATATAGTACAACTTCTATGATATTGTTCTGAACCTGACCCATTTCCTTTGCAGCCTTCAGCTGTTTGTTGTAGATGACTTTACAGGAATTTAGCTCTTCGTCAAACATGGACAAAAGGGACGGATATCTGCTTGCAGCATCCACAGTAATTAATGGACGCTCCACCAGGCTGCCAAACCTTTCAAGGACCTGAAAACATAAAACAAATTTAAGAAAAAAGTCTTTGAGGTAAGAGTCTGGCCATTGATTTATTCATGTAAGAAAGAGCGATTACTTGACCAGACCTTAAAGGTGTGCTCCAGTCCTGAGGCATTATCAAAAGCCTGACAAAAGATTGCTCCTAGACGGCGATCTGTGTCATCCACCTTAAGCCTAAAGTCCCTCAAATCTCCTTCAAACTCCTGAAAGGCAAATAAATCAGCAGGAACATTGGCCAAAACATCATACCAATGGGCAAAGTAACCCAAAGCCAGTATAACATATTGCTTTTTACATCTCACTGACTCTGTTATTCAGCTAAGACTGATTGCTTCTTACAAGAAAAATAAATTGTCTGTCGAAATGTGAGAAAAGAGAAGCCTGCAACTTATCGGCATTGCAACAGAAACACAATTTCTTTCACAGAAGCTGAGTGTTTAGGTTGCTGGGGCATTGGCCACACTGAAGATTATTCCAAATAAGTCTCATTTTACCCCCAAATATTTGGGAAAATTAGCTGACCTTAAAGTCACCTTCGATGCATGACACATTTTATTCCCCACCATGCATGTGAACTGTGCCCGCACACATAATTATACGTACCGTATTAGTGATGTCCAAGCAATCATATGGCTTTTCTGTAAATATCTTGTAAGAGTCCAAGAACTCTTGATAAAGTGACTGGATCTGCAGGTTAAGGGCTCTTCCTTTGATGCCTCCAATCTCAAGTTTCTCAAGCTTCATCAGGTCCAAACATGTTGACAGCGTTTCCTGTGTTAAACCAATAAAGGGGAGCCCAAGACCATCAAGTTTAAGATTAAATCTCATTCGTCCAATAAGTTCCAGCAACTGATCCCGCTGGTTTCATGCTCACCTTAATGTTTTGCAGTCTGTTGATAAACTGGTCCAGCCTTGAGAAAATTGAGACTGTGGAAATGTTCCAGGTCCCATTCCTCTTGCACTTCTGATACAAATTGGCCCTCTGGTCCTCAAAGGTGTTCTTGAAAAGCTGAAGGACATCTAGGCTTGTCTGGACCCTTAAAAGACTCTCAGCAGTTTCACCATTTAGAACCTCCTCTGGAACTAGATACAGCCTTGCCTGGATGTTGGAGACCAATAACATGTTAGCTTGGCTTTCTTAAGCTCTCTGCATGCAGTAGCCTACATTTGCACCAATAGCAGCTGTAGGAAATACATTAATACAATACTGTGTTTAGACAATGAATATAATGTTAGGTTTCTTGCTAAATGCAAGAAGAAACAATGTGACCCTTTCAGCCACCTTTTAACAGAGCAAAAAACAAAAATAGCAGATAGAGAGCAGTTGTGCAACTTTATATTTGAGGTTTTTGCATGATAGGCATTGAGGGTTCTAAAACATTGATGAAAACAGAAAATGTTACTGTTTATTAGCTTTTCAACAATAAAAGCTGTTCTTTTTGTAGTATTTTATTAATGCCATATAAAATTGTATTTGCTTGTCTCTTCAGCAATTGATCAGGTAAAGATCAGATAATGAAGACAGCCTCAGCCTGGAAACTGACCTATGCAGGTTTTTAAGACTGATGCTAATACCAATTGCACAATGATAACAAGTTACACAAGTTTCACTTAAAACAGAAAACAGTCAATTAGTAACGAATTGAACTAATTAGCATAGGATAAGAAATAGAGGGAGCGACAAAGTTTTCCCTTTGTTTCATCTCAATGCATGATTGCTGAATGCATTCAAACGTTTCCTGCAGGGCCCCCATTTTGTTTTCAAAAAAGTTTTGGCTCCCTCTCAATCTCATAACACTGCTAGAATGTGTCAGCAGTTAAACAAGCTGAAGTAAAGTCTACAACAGCAAACTAAATATAGCAAATAAACTACAATCTAATTTAAATAGCTAAAATGTTCAACTTTGAAGTTAAATTATTTTATGTTTAACTGTTTTCTCAACAGATTTTACTATTGCTATTAATAAATAAATAAATAAATAAACTCTGAAACTGAGTTATTTATTCAATTCATTTGTACAACTCCTGCTTTAATTATTACTCTGGCAGCCCTAGGGGATGCAACACACTGTTAGGGAGCTGCTGTAGTAATGCACCGGCCAACGCGTGTGTATACCGGCCGATACAAATACAATAAAAAATATATCAGGCAGAAATATCTGGCAGTTGAATTGAACGGAAGCAACCCATGGAGTTGGCGTTCTAACTCAGAAGTTGCATTTTAGCCCAAAATTTAAAATCCAATATGTCTGCCACTAACCAATAAAAGAAAGAGCTGTTTTTTTTATTCAATTTATTACACAGACAGGATAAAAATGTTGTTTTTTGTACTAATTAGCCCTTTTCCAAATAGAAACAGGAGCTTCAGGATTGGGAAGTCATTGATTTAAAGCTTTGACTTCCCAGGTAAAAATAATAAAGTATTACTTGCTGTTTTTCTAAATATTTTTCATAAAATCTTAAATAAATCTGTATGTTCCTCTGGAAATCTTTTAATGACTTTTTAAAGCCAGCAATCCTGTGGGCCTTCTTACCCTGCTTAACCTCTACTGCTGCTCTATCACCTGACTATTCATTACCAGTGCCTAAAATTTGACAACAAAAAGAGTATTGCTATAACCAAATATAGTTGTGGTCTAGTACGAGTGCATTCCTATTAAAAAAGATCTGTGTGAAACCAGATGATGCCAGAAAAACCAATCATGGAGGGATAATAACATTGCTAGATTTACTTTTTTATTTGATCAAACTAAATAAAACCAGGTTTTCCTAAAGTGCAGCTACACAGTACATAAATGCATCTTGGTGAACAGAATTTAGACTTAGTCTCACAAGAAACTGTAATGCTTCTAACACTCTGCTTCTTCAAAAGCCATAGACCTTAATACTTTGTCAGCACTGAGACTGTGCTCAGAACTCCTGTGACGACAACCTCCTGGTGACTTTGGCATTTGGAAAGCAAAGCATTAAAGAGCATAAACAAATCTTCAGCTGTTTGAGCAGAGCAGTCTCAGAGTAGACTGTGTGAACCTTCTGCTCTGTCAGTTGAAAAGCAGGATAGATCTAAGATGAAATACCCAGATCCAACTGCTAGGTTTCCTGCAAAAATATCAAGACAAAAATCCTTTTTTTCCTAAGTTTCTTGTAGCAATACTCCATCTTAAAACTCTGAAGTGCTGAAGAATTTTCACGTATAAAGCTAAATTATACATGATATTCATTTTAGTAAAAAAAAAAAATATTAAAGCAAACTAAAATGTACTTGGTTAATGGATCATTCACATACTGTACATATGCTTACACCAAAAATCATTGTTTAGCTGTGTCTGTATGGCTTTATATCCCATTCTTGTGCTAGATGGTGAACCTCTGCCCCCTTCTGAAGTTGGTTACAGCCTTCTAGATCTACCATGATTTCTGTATTAATCTTGAGCTATATTACCATATTGTCTGACCAGTTTCCCTTCCCTACTAAAAGATGTTATCCCTGCAACCTGCTGTAGATTAAAGTTTGGTCTCATGCACCAGTCTCCGATGTATCTTGTTTTGTATGTTCACTTCACATCAATATGCTTATGGCAAACTGAAAGCAGGATTTTAAAGAACTTCCTTTTAACGTTAGATTTCCTGTTCTCTCTGTTTCATAAAGCTCAAAATTGTGGGGTACTAATATCCTGACAACTGGTTCTAACATCCATTTTCGTCACGCTTATCCCTGCTGGGGTCGCGAGGGGTGCTGGTGCCTATCTCTAGCTGTCAGTGGGCGAGAGGCGGGGTATACCCTGGGCAGGTCAACAGTCTATCGCAGGGAAACACAAAGACAAACAGGACAACCAACCATTCATGCACACACTCACACCTAAGGATAATTTAGAGAAGCCAAACAACCTAACAGTCATGTTTTTGTACTGTGGAAGGAAGCCAGAGTACCCAGAGAGAACCCACGCATGCACAGGGAGAATCCCTGCGGCTGCTCTGGGGTAACCATGCAACAGTTTCCATATAACTAAACAATTCTGCAATACTTTATGTTGGTTTATGAAATAAAATCTGAATAAAATATGTAGGGCTTTTTTGTTTTAATGTGAGAAATTCTAAAAATCCCTTTCCCTGTTGATTTGTTAGCTTGTGCAACCTATCTTTTTTATGGTGATCATAAGAGGCTGATCTCCATGTGAAAATGTAGGTGTAATGCATTTATCAGTTCAGTTGATATGCTGCTTGTGGGGTAAACATTGCCTCTAGGATGAATAATACAAATAGTGCAAAATGACAGTGTAAACAGCGAGGCTTTCACACATCAGAACACCGTCTGTTTTCAGAACTCAAACGTTCATGTTTACTGTGCTTATTTGCCAAAGGACATAAATCTCCCTGCAGTGTGTTCTGTCCCAGGCTTTTCTCTGCACCTGGTGACTGACAGGACCTTCCTTGAAGAAGATTTCTGAGAATCTGATATGATTTGGGGAGCACTTGTATTTTAAATAGCTGCAACACATGAGCAACAAAGAAATACATCGACAGAAACTTGTCTCAAAAGAAACTGAATTTGAATTGCTCAGGATAAATCTGTATTCATGCAATTTGCATTGTTTTGAAAGTTCATTTTACTAAACTGAAACTGAATGTAATTTTAATGTATTGTATTTGTCTATTTTGTCTATTTTTACTCTCAGCTCCATAACTGAACTGCCCACTTAACATGTCTGATGGTTTTTAGTGCTCAGTCGATACAGGAGGCTTTGTTGCTGGAGATTTAAAAGCCCCTGGTAGAGTCATCCAAGGCAATAAGGCCTTTGTTGATGTGTCTGAAAAAGAGTGGTTCAAAAAGCTCTTACCTTGATAAAGAAATTGAGGCAAGTGACGTCATCCTATAAGGCAGATCTGGAAACTCACTTTAGAGACAGACCTAGGGTTGTGGATCTGACCTGGCCATGCCCTGAGTCGGCTTATGACCTGCAGGGGGAACTATGAGGGGCTGGTGCAAAAAGGATTGGGCAGGAGTCAGAGGTGGAGGCCTTGGAGACCTGATCCATGCCAAAAAATGACTCTGGAGGCATAAACTGTAATCTTGCTGCGGGAAAGGGGTCTGAGCTTGTGCAAAAGATGGAAAAATAAAGCTAGAAATAGTTTGGCACTAAGTATAGGCCAGGCTCTGTAAACTAGCTCCATGAGAGAGTCTGGACTCTCTTCTGTGCAGGAGTGGCCTGAAGGGAGAGGCAGAGGGCTGGTGGTCTGCTTGTCTCCCCCCCCAACCTTAGCTGTCCCATGTTCTAGTTCAGGCCTCCCCAAACTCGGTCCTCAAGGCCCCCTGTCCTGCAGGTTTTAGAGGTTTCTCTGCTTCAGCACAGCTGGTTATAATGATTGCAGTAGACCAAAAGCTAATCAGCTTTCAATTAAAATCAGCTGTGCTGGAGCAAGGAAACCTCTAAATCCTGGCAGACAGGGGGCCTTGAGGACCAAGTTTGGGGATGCCTGTTCTAGTTCATCTCACTAAATGAGAAGGTCACATAGCTGTGCCCTCATCTAGTGGGAAGTCCCTGACTGTTGTTTTGGCTAATGTGCACAGTAGCAGTATGGAGGGCCAGGTCTTCAGAACTTCCCTGGCAGGGTTGGTAATTCCATCATTTTGCAGACGGCTTTAACGTCCATATTGGAAATAACATTGACACTTGGAAGAGCCTGATCGGAACCCCAGCTACTAAACTGAGTAGTATTTTATTATTGGACTTCTGTGCAAGTCATGGCTTGTCCCTAATGTAGACCATGTTTAAGCATAAGGAGGTACATCAGCGCACTTGGCACCAGGAAACCCTTGGCCAAATGTTTATGATTGGCTTAGTAGTAATGTCTACTGAGTTTCAGCAGCATGTCTTGGATAGGAGCGGGGTGGAGCTGTCCACCAATCACCACATGGTGGTGATTTGAAGATGATAACTCCAGAGAGACTCAGCATGCTCAAGAGGGTACAGTATACTGTATAGGATCTCCTAGGAATGTTTGGGGAACCCTCGGTCAGAAACGTATCCAACGCCCACCTTCACTGCAGATTTGTCAATGCTTATTTCTGAGAGGGAAGCAGCTGGGATGAAGATCAGTTCCTTGAATTCCAGAGTCTTGGGTCTCCACCAGGAATAGGTGCCATGCCCTCTTCACTTCAGAGGCGAGTTCTTGCCTAAAGTGGAGAGCAAGTACCTAGGGGTTCTATGTATGTGTAAGGGTAGAATGAAGCTAGAGATCAATGCAGATCTAGAGCAGATCAATGCAGATGTTACTATAATATGGGATAATGGAATAATAAGAGAATTAACACCAGACTCACACTGAATGCAATGGTGTTGCTGAGCAGCTGCATGCAGTGGGCATGCTGAAAAAAGGTCACTCACACTTTGGAACTCTGAGAGGAAGATTGCTGCTGCATCCGGCCAAACTCTTTCTTGCTTAAACATTTATTTGAGCTGCATGGTCTAAGTAAGTGGACCTGATTTGCACTGTGACTAATGGGACTGTACATATATACTGTATTGATCCTTTTTCCTTCCAGTACCCACACCACAGCTGTACATTGTTTAATTTAGCCCAGGGTAAGTCTAAAGGCATAGCTCTAGATTTACCAGTTGGCTTACAGTCTAACGTTCACCTATGGTCATTAAATCAGGCCAATCATGACCAAAATAAATAAATCATGGATACAAACTATCCCAGATTCAAGCTTTTTCGACAGGGTGTCGAGCCACTCTATTGAAATAGTATGAGTATCTTTGCCATCCAGGACAGGTTTGGTGTAGGGCAAATTCTCCTTTAGAGGACTCAACATGTCTTACTGGAAGAATGTCCAAGGGATAGCTCAGGATATGCTGCAGGGATTTTGTCGGCCCTGGATTGCCTCAGGCTCACCAGAGGGGAGCTGGAGCAAGTGTTTTGGGAGAGGGAAGTTTGGGAGTCTCCCCTGAAATGGTTGCCACTGCAGCCAATACCAGGACATGTTGAAGACAACGACTGTAAGTTCCATAATTCAATTTCAGATTTTTTTTTGTCGCAGACTAATGACAGACATTTGTTTCATTCCCTTTTTTAACCATATTTTGAGCTGCAGCAGTGGAGCTTGTATGAGGCTTGTAAGAACCATTTATTCACCAGGGAGACAGAACAGCCAACAGTCGGCTATGCTAAGTTAACTAATTGCCACAGGTAGCATCATTGTTACAGACAGCCCAAATTCTTCACTTTTTTTATAATCTTTCTTTTACATGGTTGTTTGACATTATTAATGACGTCTATCAGCCTCGTGGATGTTGACCTCTAGTTCTTTAGGAATTGGTGAATCTGTTTTATTATTCTCAGGCTAATGAATCTGAAGTCTGATACAAATAATCTAAATTTTGTATCTGAAACTGAATTATAGAACTGAAATTTAAATCAACAAATCAAATTGTCCATACAACCAAATGGATTTTAAAGCAAATAGATTCTGTTTCAATTCAGTGAAATGTGTTTTCAAAGGTAATATATTTAGTGTTAAATAACATATATACAGATTCACTCTGCTTTTGCTCATAGAAATATAGCCTACTGAACAGCCTTCATAAAAATGCTGCACCCAAAGATAGTTGCTTTTTTATTAACCCAGGAAAGAAAACTGTGTTTTACCGATTGCTTACAGTTCAGAGATACTGCAAAATTAATAACCTTGCAACATGTGTGATAAACACACACAGATATAAATAATGAGAGATGAATGAGTTTACCTGTTGTATGAGAAGGTTGCAGGTCTCCTGAAGCAGCGCAGCAAGGCGTCCCGGGGTGTTGTAGTGTCTGGAGTTGGCCAACATTAGGCACAATGTATGCATAAAAGCTTTAATTGGACCTTGGATATCAGGGAACTCCTTGTTCTCCAGGTCCTCAAGCACATGTTGCAGTGGTTTCAAATAGCTGCAAATGTCATCTGCTTCCTCCAAAGCTGCCAAATATTAAACAACTAGTTTTACTTACTGCATGTAAACAAAAACTTATCCTCGTAGATGAAGCAATAATTTTACCTGCAAGGACGTCCTTTTGTATGTTAATAAAAGCAGGGTAATAGCTGCTTTCCACAGCCTCCAGCAACATCTCCATCTTTTTCACTTTACAGGAGTTCAATTGAGAGTGGATGCTCTCCAAATCTGCATATCTTACAGGTGAGGAAAACACAAAAACATTTAAAACATATTTCCCCCCCCCAAAAAAACAGGATCAATCTGAGTGATTATTTCTAAGAATCTCTGCAGATAACTCCCAGAAAACAGAATTTTATAGTAACCACTTACTTTTGAACTAATGATTAAATCTTTTTAGTTGCTCAGGTAATAATAAAAAAATTACACTATACATAATACATAATGTTTCTATAGATAATGTTTCATTTGTAAATTATATGAAAAATTAAAGTACAGCGTTTTGAAGGATAATTCATAACCATGGATTTATTGTTATATAACAAAAAACTAAGTCTGATCTATTTAAAAGGGATTGTGCTTAGTTAAAAAAAAACAACAGTAAATGATTATAGGCTAAGGCAAAATAGGCAAGTTTCTCAAATTCCTAAAAAAGGAAAACTTGAAAAATTTGTCCAACATGTGTATTCAGTCCTGTTCACTAAGCTTCCAACAGTTCAAAGCTCTTTATCTGGATATAGAGTGTGCCACAACTGCAAACCCAAGAAAACATTATTAAAATATTATCTGAGTGAAGGTAAGAAGAAGGCAGATGGAATCTCTAACTGCTCTATGTCAACCTTTTAATAGCTTGCATGTCTTTTTTTATCCAGGTATCTCATTCTGTTGTGCCACAGCTTGCTTTTGTTCATTACTGTAATACCTGCAGTGCAGTGCAGTTTGCTGTAATTTAGCGATAATTCTGCCATGGAAGCATAATTCCTACAGCAGAAGAAATAAAAGCAGCGCTAAACCAAAAATTCAATTTTTCACTCCACAGCACAGTTGTTCTGAAATCTGATAATTTAGCAGCGGTTCTTAGAGCTGACAAAATAATTCAGCATTAACCCTGCAGGGACGTGCTGGGCTCTGACACACAAAGCAGAGGTTACCAAACGGTGCTGCTAGCTACTGGGGTTCGTTAATGGTGAAGGTGCTGACCTGTTTTTCCAGAAGAGAAGCTCCGTTTGAGGTGTAGGATTTCCCCCCACAAGCAAAGCCTCAGAGGAGTCTTTCTGTAGGACATGGCAGATCTGATGGCTCCACTCAATCACCATAGACTCCACGGAGTGGATGATGCCATTATCCACTCTTCCCCCACTGTGATTTGGATCAGGTAAACCATTTTACAATGTACACAAATGACAAATGATGCCTTGATATCATTTCTGTGTGCCACTGCTCCCTACGTACCTTTGGATTGTCTCGAGGGCACTTTGTTCCACTTGCTCTAACTCTGCAGGGAAGATAAGCACAGTTTTGCCTTGGACTTGGCCTGACACAACTAACACGCTGGTCAAGAGAGATTGGACATGGTGCCTCATGTCCAGGGAAACATCTTGAGGCCATTTAATGTGGTTCTTCCTGTTGGAGAGCAGTAAATCCACAGCCTAGAGAAGTGTTGGAAAAAGGATTGAAGGGTTAGATCTTGATATTGGACTTTTAGAACTTTTTTGAAAATCATTAAAAAGCACTAACTATATATTTATACTGTACTACCTTAATTGATCTTTGCTCTATCCATCATTAGCTAAAGACACAGATATTTACATACACTACACTAAACTTATTTGGATATGCCAAATGGCTATTACATTACAGATATTATTGATTTATTTTCTATTAATCTAATAAAATTCTCGGATGCATAAAGTTGAATTACGACAACAGCTTACTATAAATTGCACCAAAAGGCCCAAATTATGACCGTTATTAATCCATATTATTCCGGCATTTAAATAATTGTCAAATAATTTAATAATCGATTAATCGTTAACTTGAGACTCTAAAAAATGCCTTTAGCTGACAGAGCAACCCACTTAGAGCGGTCATTATAGCAAAAAAAAATTTAAAAGTAAGATAAGAAAAATTTAATCTGTCAACATGCTCTATCCACAACTCCTCAAGTTTGAGTTTATCCTGGTTTAAATTCGTAAAAGCTCTTCTTTTAGGAACCTTTGGCTATCTAATTATCATAAATCTATAAATCAAAAATATAATTGGTTTATTAATCAATTTGCAAAATAATCATTAGTTGCAGCCCTTTCTTTGAATAATACTTCTAGATTCCTGAAGATATATCTGTAAATTAATTTGAAAAACAATGCAATTATCCATCTATATAGTTTGATTCTATGTCCTGTGACATGGCTGGGATTGGTAATACATTGTAATTATACCAACTGAGAAAATGTTACAGCACGTGGAACTGGTGCACCTCAAAGTAAAGATTGCATCACGTTCAAACAACATTATAAGGAAATATTAAAGCAGTATCACAAGACTGCAGCTAGGACCTTGAATTTGTCTTTAAATCATACATTAGTTACAAAGGGCTTTGTTATCCTTTGAAGTGGCCATCAGAAAGCCTGGATCTTAAAAATATGAGTGTTTGTTTCCTTTCAGCTACTCTGATTTTTAGAGGGCATCACCGCAAGTCATTACGGCTTGCTCACAGACTTTTGCATCAGATACCCTCCATCACTCAATCAGAATTTAAACAGGGGTCCTTATGTTATTGTCGAAGACTAACTTCTTCACAACGGGGACACCTATTTAGTGAAATATGTACTGTATAAAGAGCTTAAAAGGCATGCCAAAGAAAACCAACTCACATATAGCAGCTCTATTTGGTGAAATGAGCCATATTTACCAGCCTAATAATCAAACTTTAGTCTAATTTACTGTCAGAGAGAGAAAGAATTTTTTATACATACAGTAGTATGTAAATACCTGGTTTGAAGTATTTTTTTGGCTTTCAGGTACTTCTCCCTAATTATTCTAACTTTTGTGTTTATCACCACAACAGAACCAAAGCACGTAAAGTAAGCTAACCAGATTTCTGTTTTCTGGGACATTTCCAGCTCATATAAAGAAATAGATATCATCAAAATTAAATTAAGAAATGGGACAGTGATGCTTTTATATATTTTTGCATATTTATCAATATTTAGACCACAAAAATCAAGCGTCAATGAATGTGTCTCTCCATACTGTTAGTAAAATAATTAAAATTAATGAATTGATAGTGTTTATTAGTGCCATTTGGTATTTCAGTCTTCTCTGTCTTCTTCCCTCTCCATCTTTTTTTTCTCGCTCTCTTCTGTCTTCTGCCTGCTCTCTGTTTAACTCATCTAAGTAGATTTTCTTCTGTTCTCTTTAACTGATCTTTCCATCAGTGTTCCTTTTTTCCTCTGATTTAGTCTTCTTTCTATCAGTCTTCTAATTTTCTTCCTCTTCTATCAATCTTACACTAATTTAAAACAGGAAAATAATAAAATCAAAATCCCTTCCAAACACATTAGCATGTAAAACATGAAAACTTCCAAGTTAATAGTTAAAGGTGGAGGATGTTCTTTTTCCGGGTGGATCATCTAAATAAGTGGTCCTCCTAATTGCATCTTGGTGATCACTCATCTTGGTGATATGCACTCATCCCCATTTTCACTTACTGGTGGTGAGTCTGACATAGTGGGAAAATCGCAAATCTTCTTTTGGAAAGTAAGCTTGTATGAGGAATGCAAACAGCAACTTTTAAACAGAGCGTGCACGTCGAGAAATGGGCTTGTGCACGCTCTTGCACATGTTTACTCTAATTTACTCTAATCCCTCTTCGGAGCAGGTACAGCGTTGTGCATGTGCTTTTTTTCTAAAAAGGGGAGAGGGCGGTTCTTTTAAAAAATTCACAAAAATCCTGCACTATACCTTTAAATTAATACTGATTTCACACACCTGTTAACCGTCATATGTTGTGACCCAAAGAGATGCTACATGTATCTCACCATAGACTTCTTTAGGTTTAGGTATGAATCTAGTGAAGTTAGGGTTAGTAGATAGCAGACTTGTGAGGAGACTCCGTTACAGCGGACGCTTTTGGTCACTTACGAAAACAGATTACTATAAATTGAACCGGTTTTACAACAGATTTTGTTGTAAAACCGGTTTAATCTGGTCATACATATTATGATTATGATTATGATTATTTTTATTCTTATCTCATCTGAATAAATACTAAAAAGAATAATCACTTTCTCTTCCTCCATCATTCTCAGATCATGCAGATCTTCTCTCATTCAGTTTTCCCTTTACTGCATAATTTTTATAATGAGGAACTTTCATATACCCAAAACGAGTGGTAGAAAAGGAGACCTACACCTGGAAGTCAACAGCAAAACAACTTAGAACTCTACTTACAATAAATAAGTAGAGTTTTTAATTAAATAATAATACATTTTTAATTCAATTAATAATTAATTTTAATTCAATAACTATCCAAAGATATAAACTAAAGGTCACCAATCAGTTCTGGAGAACCACCAGAAAACCTGAATAAAAAAAAAAAAAAAACCTGAATTAAAAAAACCTGAGTCGATTTATCCGTTCCAGCTGCAGCCAATGGTCTGTCTTACTTTTTGTTGATTAGCTTGGTTCATATTTCATTTCCGACCTCATCTTTAGTAAAACAAAACACATCAAAGGTTATTATTATTATTTTTTTTTAAGCTAGGCATGAACCATCAGCTGCAACTGGTTGTGATAAAAAATAACTTTCACTTCTTCCTCATCTGTTTTTAAAGTGGATCTGCCCCTCATCTATAAGTTAACAGCTACCAACCAGCTAGGTAACAGCTGTTTCTGCATGAAGCATGCTCACATGCTCTTTTTACAGTACCATAATAACAGTCTACAAACAACATTTCCCCCCTCATTCACTAAACAGTTGTCCCCAGGTGGTTCAAAATGGGGACTGTCCCTGGAAATCGGGGGCCTCTGGTCACCGTAATGTACAACTTACTTCACTGTAAACAGCAACAGTCATGTTTTGGTGATTTCCAGTTTATGGATTATTACTAAATATACATCGTTTACACTAAACAGTCAGTTTTTCAAATTGACTCCAAAGATTATTCCCGAAATGTATTTATAAACTTAAATTAGTTTCACTGCCTTGATTTGAAAAAAGAAATGATTGGGTAAATCATTTCACCCAAGAAAAGGAAGATGGCAAATTACTACTAAGTATGATATTATGCAAACTGAATGTAGATAGAATCTACTTAAAATACATATTTTAAACAGATCAGCAATTATATTTTCATAATGAATTCAAATGAATATGTTGGCTTATTTAAGAAGCAGAAATGCCTGCTCTCTCCAAACAGTGCAATAATTTAAATCAGCTTCATTTAAAATGCTGTCTACTAAATTCTGTGGTGTAAAGCTGATGGATATTGAATGAATAAACCTGGGAATTATCTATCTGTTTAATTGTATGCCTTTGTAATCACAGATACTGCCTCATAATGGATGAGAAAGAAATCCATCTGTATATACTGAGCCAAGAGTTTATACTGCACTGCTGCTTACCTCCCCAACTAGAGCAGAAAACTGGTCCAGTGGAGCAGAAGTCAAGTCTCCGTAGACCAAGCTCTCTTTGATGGACTTTGGGCTCAGTGGAGCTTTGTCTTTCTTCATAAAATACACTGCCTTGTTTTTATGGCTGGCAGTGAAGGAGGCTGTGGGCTCCAACAGTCCAGCTGTGGTCATGGATACCACCAGAGTCCTCTGCTCTGATCTGTCCAAGAAGTTCTGTATAACTTGTCTGTTGTCCTCATCCGACATGCATTTTTCCCATTTATCCGGCTTCAGTTTAAGAGTTCTCAGCACGCAGTCGGCTATGAAATCCAGTCTTTTGTCTTCAGAAGCAGTTGACTTCTCCATATCCGTAGGTTTCTCTGCTGTCCCAGTTGGGCACCAGTGAGTGCCTGAACTGATTTGTGTCTTTGCTTCCATGGCAACGCTGTGTTTGCCATAACAGGCCGTTGCTAAGGGGACAGGTCTGCCCCAACTGACCTGACCCAAGACAAGGACACATTTCCTGCTGTCTGAATGCTGAATGATAGCTATTGTTCTCTGTCAGTGTGATTGAAAGTTGGGATCATAATGTGGCCACCAAACACAGTTCAGGTGTTAAAGGGCCTTCATGTTAACAAAGGGCACTATAATAAGTGAGAGAAAGTAAAACAGAAAAGACTTACTCCCTAAATTATTTCACATACTTCCAACACTGTATGCTAAATGAGTGTATCTCTCAGTGAACATATAGTGAAATTTTTTGGGATGATACAAATGTTTTTTAATAACTTTAAAGAGAGAGATTTAAAATTCCTTATGTTTAGGTATTTTTTGTTAGATTTTAAAGGGGAGTGAGGAATCTTGCTATAATGCTTTGAACATTTTTCACTTTACACTCACAGCCTTCAAATAATTTTTTTATGAATGAAAGGTAATAGAGCGACACAAGTAGTGCATGAAGTTCTGGGTAACATTAGGTGGTTTAGAGACTTAATCATTAAAATAATCTAGACTATCATCAGCTCTGGGTGTTTAGAAAATAGAAATAGAAAAAATATGTCACATTTTTCAATCTTTTTGCTGCAGTTCGTTTGTGGTTCTCCTGCTAGATGGTCAACACCCACCCCAGACTCAAGTCCTTTGTGGTCTTCAACAGGTTTACAGGACTCTCCTGTGAACGTGAGGCAATCTTTACTTTGAGGTGCACCACTTCCATGTGCAGTAACATTTTCTCAGTTGGTATAATTACACTGTGTTACCAACTGTTACTTAGCCTTTCATGCATAGGTAATGGCAGTGATTTCTAAAGGTATGTAGTTGTACCTACAATGATTGTTGCCTTTCACATTTCCTTATTGTTACATTAGAAATGGATAGTTTCATGTGCCATACTGTAACTGTGAATGTCCAAAAGACTTTTTTTCTTCATTTTGTTTATTTATGTTCATTATAATTTTCACAGTAGTAGGTTGATACAATAGTAACAGTTGGAAATGCTTTGGATTTTTATTGTATACTTTGTTACAGGCAAACATTATCATCTGTTAGATGTAACGGTTCAAACAGCCAAAAAACTAATGTTTCTTATGTTGTTTTTACCCTTTGATAATCAAAACATATTTAAAAAAATATGTGTATCTGTTATCAATATATTCTAAAGCACTCAGGAAAAAAACTGCTGTGTTTAAGGTGGAAATAAAGAGTTTTTTTCACTCTTTTATCCAAAGTTGACTTAATTGTGTTTTATGGAGCTTGGGAACATGAGTCCACATATGTGGACATCATTTTTCTCTAAAACTGAATAACATTGAAATATGATGTTTCATTTTTATTCTAACTGGGTTCAAACAAGCCCAAATAACAAAGAGAAATAAAAAATTTATGTAAAAAAACTGCTTGGGCCTTAAGAGGTTATAGGGAAAAAAAGTCTAATTTTTTCAATCTTTTTGCTGCTGTTCGTTTGTGGTTCTCCTGCTAGAGGCTCAACACCCACCCTAGTCCTTTGTGGTCTCCAACAGGTTTACAGGATTCCCCTGTTTTTTTAATTCCTCCATCATTACCTCATATGATTAAAAAAAAAGAATATCTCCATTTGCCCATACTGCCCCCACCTCATATCACAGAAACAAAGATGTGGTTGAGATCATGCAAAGGGATTGATTTCTACCGGACAAATTAATATGTTAAAGAGTTTACTTCAGTATTCATCTGACCAGAGCACTTTCCTCCATAAGCTAGCTGTCATGATTTTGGTTCTGTTCAAGATTTCTTTTGGGTTTTCATTTTGTGTCTTTCTTGATTATTAATTTATATTAATGTGGGGAAGTAAGTAAAGTAAAATGTAACTCAATGTTTGCGGGCTGCTGTCACAGATGGGTCTGCTGTAAGGAAGGTGCAGGTATTATGAAAATGATAAGATAAATAAATTATTATTATGTTTTGGATTATGTTTGTATTAGAGTTCTTATGTATTTCTTGTTTACCATCTGTTTCCCCTTTGTGTCAGTCTCCTTTCTATTGCTCCTTCTAGATGCTTCCATCCACACCTGCTCCTTGTTAGCTCTTTAGCCCAGTCTTTGTTTAGTCTACCATTTACACTCTTGTGCAGTTTCTCAGTGCTGGTTCCTCATGCTTCCTTGCTCCTCATGTGTTTTCCCTGATATCTCCTGTTTTTTGTTTTTTTTTGCTGTATGTTGTATTTGGACTTTACCTTCTGTTGCCTTTAGATCTATATTAAATCAGCAAATGCTAAACTCTGTCTACTTCAGTCTCTATATTTGGATTCTCTTCAAAGCTCCAGTCAACCTGACATGGCTTATGGCTCTTCCATAAAGGACAGTTTGAAGGTTGCTTGGTGGCTCAGAATCTGAGTTGTGACTTTCATCTCCTAAAGCATTTTGAAAGCCCATATCTTGATGGGCTAGAAGTCCATCATAGACTAACTGATTCATCATAAAAGGATGAGTTATATTATGTTTGACACTTAGGATGTTGTTTCACTACCTCACTTCTCTAAAGGTTTATCCCTGAATGGTAGGTTGTGTCTCTTTGGTCTTTTTGATGCCGTTTGCTTTTTCCCAAACCTCAGGGGGCCATAGTAGCTGGACCATACTACTTAAGTGGCTTTTAAACACAAGGCAGGTGGTATTAGAGTAAATGGAGCTGTGCTTTTCAGCTACTGAAGGATTGTTGCTGGAGATGAAAGAAGCTAAGAAACTAGCGTTGAAAAGGAGACATTTTAATATCTACCTATATATATACTCCCCAATGATATATATATATATATATATATATATATATATATATATATATATATATATATATATATATATATATATATATATACACTATATTGCCAAAAGTATTTGCTCACCCATCCAAATTATTGGAATCAGGTGTTCCAATCACTTCCATGGCCACAGGTGTATAAATTCAAGCACCTAGGCATGCAGACTGTTTTTACAAACATTTGTGAAAGAATGGGTCGCTCTCAGGAGCTCAGTGAATTCCAGCGTGGAACTGTGATAGGATGCCACCTGTGCAACAAATCCAGTCGTGAAATTTCCTCGCTCCTAAATATTCCACAGTCAACTGTCAGCTGTATTATAAGAAAATGGAAGTGTTTGGGAACGACAGCAACTCAGCCACGAAGTGGTAGGCCACGAAAACTGACGGAGCGGGGTCAGCGGATGCTGACGCGCATAGTGCGAAGAGGTCGCCAACTTTCTGCAGAGTCAATCACTACAGACCTCCAAACTTCATGTGGCCTTCAGATTAGCTCAAGAACAGTGCGCAGAGAGCTTCATGGAATGGGTTTCCATGGTCGAGCAGCTGCATCCAAGCCATACATCACCAAGTGCAATGCAAAGCGTCGGATGCGGTGGTGTAAAGCACGCCGCCACTGGACTCTAGAGCAGTGGAGACGCGTTCTCTGGAGTGACGAATCGCGCTTCTCCATCTGGCAATCTGATGGACGGGTCTGGGTTTGGCGGTTGCCAGGAGAACGGTACTTGTCTGACTGCATTGTGCCAAGTGTAAAGTTTGGTGGAGGGGGGATTATGGTGTGGGGTTGTTTTTCAGGAGCTGGGCTTGGCCCCTTAGTTCCAGTGAAAGGAACTCTGAATGCTTCAGCATACCAAGACATTTTGGACAATTCCATGCTCCCAACTTTGTGGGAACAGTTTGGAGCTGGCCCCTTCCTCTTCCAACATGACTGTGCACCAGTGCACAAAGCAAGGTCCATAAAGACATGGATGACAGAGTCTGGTGTGGATGAACTTGACTGGCCTGCACAGAGTCCTGACCTCAACCCGATAGAACACCTTTGGGATGAATTAGAGCCAGGCCTTCTCGTCCAACATCAGTGTGCGACCTCACAAATGCGCTTCTGGAAGAATGGTCAAAAATTCCCATAAACACACTCCTAAACCTTGTGGACAGCCTTCCCAGAAGAGTTGAAGCTGTTCTAGCTGCAAAGGGTGGACCGACGTCATATTGAACCCTATGGATTAGGAACGGGATGTCACTTAAGCTCATATGTGAGTCAAGGCAGGTGAGCAAATACTTTTGGCAATATAGTGTATATAGAGTGGTTAAGGCATAAAGCATGGAATCCTGAGGTTCTGAGTTCGAGTACCACTGCCACAGATTGGCACTCTGGGTCTCTGAGCAAGATCCTTAACCTCCGATTGTGCCCCACAATGGCAGCCCACTTCTACCCAAGGGAATGGATTAAATACAGAGGTCAATTTCCCAATTGTGAGATCAATAAATATAAATTATCATTAAAGTTGTCATATACTTTAAATTACTAAAGTAAGGGCACATTTTTTTTTCTGAAAAATAATGAGTATTTCTACATTTTTTTTTTTTTTGGTGATATTTTTTTTCATGAAACAGACAAAAAAAAAATACATATATATATATATATATATATATATATATAAATATATATATATATATATATATATATATATATACAGTGTTGGGAAAGTTCTCTTTCTACGTGAACTAGTTCAAAGTTCAGTTCACACATTTTAAAATGAACTAGTTCAGTTCATAGTTCACAATTCCAAAAAATGAACTAGTTCATAGTTCTTTTTTTTTTTTTTTCATATATTGCTCAATTACACCATAGCCTACTGTAGAACCACAGACAGCAATTATTTTATCAGTTGTAACTCTGAAACTGTGCGTCAGATTTCATCTTCATATCCAGTTTTGAATCCTTATCCAACCAGGGTTTACATTAGCATTGAGGGGACAGCATTTCCCCATTGTTGCTTTAATGCTTTGTTGCTGTCCATTCACTTCACACTAGTAGCAGCTGCAGCTTTCACCCCTACAGTATATTCTCAAAAACATCAGCAAAAATGTGCTGCTTGAATGGTCTTTTTTATGAGTAATTATTAAAAGAAAAATAGGAAAGTAGTCTTTAA